GGGGGGGGGGCTTCTAATATGGGAGGGGCTTCTATTATGGGGAGGGGTTTACTCTAAATTTATTTTCTTCCAATATATACAAATTTTAGTACCTGATCACATTCGATAAACTCTTTTATTTTATATTTCATAGACGAGTTAAAAAAAAACATAGTACAAAGGCGAATGGTAATTTACTTTCAATGCATGAGATATATTTTGTACACAGTGCACTGCGCATGCAGGAGGATACTATTCAAAGCAACTTATTACCCAATAACAAAACGAAAATACATAAATATAGTTTCATGTGTACGAACTCTAGGTTTTTAATCAACGCATGTGAAAAAAAACTTTCACATAAGTTGCTTAAAATTTGTAGCAAAAATGAAATAGCAGCTAGAGAATTGAAAGTCAGAGAAACACTTTAACAAACACAATGATTAGCTAGAAGATATCAGAATGTTCTAATGCATGATCATTAATCACAAAAATTCGAAGTTGGGATATTGCATACAATGCAAAAAAAATGTGTAAATAATTCTTAGTAGGTATCCACACGATATTTTGCTTTTGTAAACAAAGTGTAAATTAGAGTATCAATTAAATATTAGAAGGATCTTGGATACTTTGTCGTCATGGTGGATCCTTGCTGTTACAAACACTGGTTATGATTGGTTTTGATTGGAATGAAAATTTTGGAATGTCATCAACAAGTCAATCAGAGAAAAAAAAAACTAACATACGGAAAAAAATGAGCTGATTTTTCTTTTATAGAAATTCTAGTTTATGATTGTCAGTCCGATTTAACGAACACGTCAGGTTATTATTTATTGTCTGCCTGTTTGCAGACTATTATTTGAGAAAGAGAAAAAACAAAATTGAATATAACCGTCGGCCAACGAGTATGTTTATAATATATAAAGCTGTTTTTTTTCTTTAAACGACATTGATCATTGGAAAAAAAAAAGTCGTATGTCGATTATATGTTTTATAAGTATACTTGTTTCGTTATTTTCATCGATAGATCTTATCAATGTTGTTGACAAATGAAACATTACTACCATTACAAGTTGGATTGTCCTCAACTAACGACAAAACAAATATCATGCATTGTTGACATGCGATCGTGGTTAGTGACTCATTCCATGGTTACATGTTTAATTCACCTTTTTTTTCTCTACATTTATTCTGCTGTGGTGTCTTTATGTATAATTTTTTACGTATTGTTTCCTTCTTTTCGCAGTTTCATTCGTGTCATTCAGGAAAATCTTCGACTCAAGTCATATGAACTAGAAGAAAGATATGTATACTGGATTATTATATTGATAAAAGAAATGGTACTGGTATTCGTTTATGTTCTATTCGCCTTTTTCTGTAAATCGTTCGGATTGGTCAATAACGATTCTTCTATAATATATATATACTTTCGTCGCTGGCTAATCGAAGCTTCATTTTTGCCAGTTCTTTTTGTTGGCACTTGTTTTATGTACTATGTTAGTTGTACCTATGAAATTTTCGACAAATATCAATCAATTTACGTCGTCGCAATCATGCTCAAAGTGCCACTATTCTTCTTGATGCGTTATGCCGAATGTCAACATGATTTTTTTCTCAATAGACTTGAAGCTTATATTGTTAATGCAATATGTGAATTGCGGTCGGAATGAAGTATCTTTTAGAAATTTGCTAAATAAAAGAATAGTTCGGTTCTTGTCCTTATTTATATATGTTCATGAATCATCTTTACCAGAATTAGAATAAATTCAATATGATCATATGACATAAATTTGATTAACACATTTCACAATTGAACAATTATCGAGAAAATTTTAAAAAAAAACTTGTGATATCATAATGTCATTTTGTATTTGATTCGCAGCTAAGTAAAGTCTGTTGCATAAAAGTATAATCAATAAATATTTCAATTGATTTTTAATGAGATATTGCTAATAGAGATCAAATGATAGTGTTATGAAAAACACTTAAGATGAGTGCTAATTTGTTTTTATTAAACTATTCAGGTAATTGTCTGTATTCTATGCAGATGTTTAGACAAATTTTTCGTTTTTGGCCTCAAAGCGAGTGATCGAATTGAATGTGAATTAATTCATGTGATTTGTGTTGCTACATAGAAACAGACAGCAATCATATCTCTTAGTTCACTTTTAATTCGACTAGTTCCTTTGTGGTTATGGCTTTTCACTTGATTAATTCACCTTTATTCAGTGTCAACTGGAAATTTTTGTTAATGAACTTTTGTTTAGCTAATGTTGAAATTTGACATTCGTTTCGAATATATTTTGTTTAGATTGTATTAAATGTTCCATAGTTTATTAGATCACTCAATCAGTGTGATTGACTTTGCTCGTTTTGTTGTTATACATTCTACAATCATATTCAACAAAATTCTCTTTTCGTTTTATTTTTATGTTAAACAAACTCAATGAAGTTTTTTCTTCTCTGATAGTAGACGATATAAATGAGCTAATATAAGAATTATGAATAAGAAATTATATATAAGAAGTCATGATGATACACAACGTAATTGAATAATCATTTTACCATACATTCTTCAATGAGTTTTCGAAATAAAACGACGTTTCTGAAAAGTAACACATAATAAAGTGTTATATTAGAAAAGAAAATAGTTAATGTTGGAATGATTGTATTAACTATTGTCTAATACATTGACAATTTATTATTATCACAATAACATGGATAGGAACATCGATCTTTTTTTTATGGTCTTTTCAAATTTGTAAATCATCGATCATGAAATGCTGTTCTATTGAACAGCCAACGATCGAAAAGCACGATTGAAGTTGAGTACTCAAGTTCTCGAACACATCAAAATCGATCTTACTCATTCAAAGCTTTTATATAGGTTTTCGTATATTCTACGTCGATCTATCTAATTTTTTTTTAATAATTACGCGAAAAAACAGAAGCTATCAGTAAAAAGTCAATGTATTTTGTGAAAAAATATCTTAAAAAGATTATTTTATGTCTTTTAATATTTCGAACGCTATTTTATCTTGAACAATAATGGAAGCATTATTAGCATAAAAAGAATAGTGGCAGTCTAAACATCATTACTTTGATGTTCTAAATCAATATTTCCAAATACGAAACAAAATTTTAGATTTGGGAAATTTTTATGAAAATTCATGTCTGTGCGTTACTTAATGTTTTATCAATAGCTCGCTCATTTTTTTTGTGTATGTATCTTTTGTTTTCACCAAAAAGATAGTCCTGACTTTCAGCTACAAAACCCTCTCTCATAAAATTCATTAACATGAAGTGGTTTACAGAATTTATCATTTCTTTCCCACCCACCAAAAACCGAGGGCCTTCTTTGTCTGTGTGTTATCCACGAGTATTTTAATCATAAAATCCAAACAACTAAAGAGTTGAGGTTCAAACTGTCAAATATTATGGATTTTGTTCACTTACATATTTGTTAACAATTACAAATCTTTCCCTCTTACCATTCTCTAGATAAATTTGTTCTAAGTTGAAAAAACATCTGTGCGTTATCTGTGTTTTGTATGTGAAGTATAGTACGAAATGATTTAACTGCACGATTCCAAACAATTTCACATCTATGATCACGTGTTGCTTGATATCGACTTTTAATAACATCAAATGGATATGAAACTGTCCATGCAGCAGCAATACCTGTAAAACCATCATCAATTAAACTTAAATAAACAGACATATCAATTTCTTTGCCTCTTAGAGAAAATTTATAACAAAAAATTTCAATGGGAGAAAATAAACAGCAAATGTCATTGATAAACCACGCATAATTTCACGCTGAATATCTCGTCTTTTACATGATTTCTTTGAACAATGAATTGGATATTTATATGAATGTGTTAATAAGATAAATAACGTTCTTTGTTGTCCAATATCTTGCATTTGTAAACGTGTTTTAATAAGTTCAACAGGTGAACATATAAGTGCTTGTGTACAATCAGCAATACCATCAGTTATTGCTAATGCAAAATAAATATCAGGATCATTAAATATATTGTTTGAAAGATTTTCAATAGAAAAAACAATTCGATTTATAATTACAACACCAATCATTGGTGATGACATACCTTTATAAGATTTTAAAAAATTTATTCTAAGTTGTGAACCTCAAAACTATGATTATGTTGATGAAACTAACTTGATTTTTTTTCGAGATAATGAGAACTTTCTGGTAGAATCTATTAGGAATTGTTTTAAAACAAATCTATCACATACATAATTACCTACAAATACATTTTTTTTAACATCTGCATTCATATTTCTCTCAGTGACAGAGAATCAGACTGAATTGGAGATTAAAAAAAAAATCAATGAAAATTAATGAGAGCTTAGTCAAGCACTGTCGAACGCCAATATATTATAAATTTTATGGTGTTTTTAATAGAATATATATTGATCTTCAACAATACTTTCTACAATGTCTAAATATGTTTTTTTTTGTCAAACTAAATTTTCCATTGTCGACTAAGTCGAAAGTTTTATAATCTGATAAACGATGATCTTCCTTTGAGACGTTACAGGCATCAAAACACACGAAAAAAAAACTAAGTTTTATCAAAAAATCGTTGAAAATCGGCTAAAAAATGAATTTCTTCTTTTTTTTTTGTGATAGATGTAACTTCCCAAGGGACAGTCGTAAAAAATGCAGCGACCTCTTATTTTATTCAGAATTTTATGCTCTTTAAGATGGCATTATCAAAAAACAATTTCCACAAACTCTTCAAGAATCTGAAAAAACGGTTTTGAATTTTTTCGAAACCTTGCCATTATAATCTATCGATGAAATGCTGCTATATATTATCTGTTAGATAGAGCTCTTCATTGGCTATCCAAAATACAATTTGGATGTGTTTAACAAATCATTTTGAGGAAAATAATTTATCAAATAGAAAGGTGCTCTAAACTTTTGTCCGTCAGTATAGATATATTTTTATTGGCTTCGTATGGATTGAACTCACTTCTATTTCTATTTAGAATATTATGTTCCTGGTCTTGATCCTGTTCATTCGTCAAGAAAGTTTGAAAGGATCTTTAAGGATCGTTAATCTCAATGTTCTTGCCAAGTTTTTATTCAGGATCCTATCTCAAATTCTAGTCATTCGTGTTTACAAGATTTCTCATTATTCAACAGGATTCTCGTCAAGATTTGTTGAAGTTCTTGCTAAGGTTTTATCAAATTTCAATCAATATCTGTTCTTTATCCTTAGTCAGAATCCTAAACGAATAGATCCTGCCAAATTTCGATCAGGATTCTGCTCTGAACTTTTCATAAAGAAGTCTTTTTTGGATCGTTTACAAGACAAAAGCAAGCATGATAGGAAAATAGAAGAATCTAGCTTAGATCTTTGAAGGTTTCTGTTTAGAGTCTTTTGTCAATTTGATTTTCAGGATCCTATCAAGATTTGTAACTCTTTAGATTACAAGACGAATTATAATAGAAATCGTAAATCTCAACAGTGATAAATGAAAGGATTTTTCAACTTTTTATTTTCTTTCGCTTTCAATCTGACAGAACTCAGGATTCTACTAGGACTTTATCCTGATCATGATTGAACCTTTCTATAAACAAACAAAGAGCTTATGGAAATATTTCAGAAATTTTCTTCGACCTCTCAAATATTTATACTGAACGTTGATATCAGATTGAGACTAGAAACAGCAGCGTCTTTGCCCTTTTATCCTGAAAAGATATATAAAAAATTATTAAATTAGGGCATTAGTTTTTTCTTATTTATTCCACTAATTTTTTTCCCACAAAAAACCTATTCTTAGTAAGAGACAAATTATTTAGGATAACTAGTTCATGTTTGAATTATGTATAGAAAAAAAAAATAGACATAAATTTTTCAAATTGAACTGAAAATAGTAAAAACATAGTGAAATTTTATAAACTGAAAACAAGATTTAAAATAAAATTCTATCTTTAAACGGTTTTTTTTTGAAATAGTTTATGTTCACATAAAATTCAATAACCAATTAACAATTCAATCGAAATTTAACATATGGCAACTTGTATTTTTTTTCTCTTCTCTTTTCTAAAGCCTGCAAACGATCCTGTCAAGAAATTTGATAAAATCCTCGAGGAAAGCTAGTTAAACTATAAAATTTATAAAAAAATTTCTTTTTCAATTATGAGCTATTGAAGTCCTAGGAGGATTCTCAATCTGAAAACAGTGGAAACCTGCTCAGAATGCTTCAATGGTATTCTTCAGCAAAAACCCAGTCTATCATTCTTACAGAAACATTATTAGATCTGTCAAGAACTTCGTGCAGAAACAGTAAAGGTTTTCACTAGGATCCCAGCAACATAAAGAGAATGAGAAAGAAAACTTCCAGATATCATAAAAACGAATGCGAAGTTCGTTGTCTTTTGACATTAGAGACAAGTACATATAACGAAAGAGAAGTGAATGACTCAAGTGAAACGAATGAGAAAAACGACTCCTATACCAACAACAATCGAAAATAAATACAACCATCGATAAAAAAAAAACATATCAATATACTGTATAAATTCAAATCATTTTATTTTTTCATTCATTAAACGGCACACATACGATGGATAAGAGGCAAAGTCAAAAAGAACTACTGACGATGTTGCTGCTGATACGGTATATGAAGATACGAGCATAACGATCACAATGATCTCCATGTGCTCGTATGGTACAGCACATTCTACTAGGATTGCATAAACGACAATGATTATATTCATAGGATCAACAAATTAAAATAAGTGGTCAACAAAATTTATCCATTTACCGATCTTAATCAATCTATCAATTGCATAAGCAATATTCAAGAAGAGAATCTATTTATCATTTTTTCTGGTGCCTTCTGGCAAATAATTGTTCTTATCGTTGATGACCTTGGACAAATCGATAGGATTTGTATTTGGAGTGATGATTATTCTAAAGATGAAGATTGGATTAAATAATAGTCAAAATCTAATGATATCTTTACAGATATAGCCTCACTCTCCAAAACACTTCAACAAGCTCGATACAAATATCATCGAAATTTTGTCGAAATTAGTTTTATTCTCACCAATAATGGAACTCACAAATAAAATTTCAATCATTTATCTACACACAAATATTAAAAGAAATTTTCTTTTAACCATTGATTTTCAACAAAAACATTTCAATGAATTTCTTTCACATTCTAGTCAACTTTTTCAGAGTAATCCTAGGACACTGAAACCCGTCGACAACACTCGAACGGGAATACTACGACAAAGCCCCAAATATGATGGTATGCCCCGAGTGACTCTTTTCTCTTTTCAATGCTCAATCGATCATTAGACCTGATCGAAGTAAATCTTATTATTAGTATGAGAGTTTTTATGCAAGACCTCTACAACAACATCGGAAAATTGTCGAATAAGTCTATGAGATGTGATCTATAGTTGATAAATTTGTCAAGTAAAGTATTCAAGAGAGATATGAGCTATTAACATCTCTTGACGAAGTTGTTGCCCGTTAAAAATCTTCCAGTCACACTTGCCACTATTCGACGTCATTTATGTTCACTAAAAAGTTTTTTAAATAGTGAAAAATTTCATATCTTCGATATCATTCTGACTAATTTTATTTTTAGTATTTTTCTCTAATGGAATCCAATCTCTTCCAAGATATGTTCGATCGTTTATTTTTCGATTTACCTTATTGTCAGATTAATTCACTATTAACCTTTAGTTCAATCGATACAATTATCGTTAATAGAAAAAAAATCAACAAACAATATTAATACAAAAAAAAAAAACTGAGACTATTTTTTGTATAAGTACACAGATGATTTTCTTCTAGAATAAATAGTTTCTATATTATTAACCTGTTATTATATGTTGCGTAACTTTAATGCATTGACTAGAGAATAAAAAGAAAACAAATATTTAGCTTTTATTCTTCGTGTTGATCTATAAGTTTTATTCAATTTGCACATTATTGTTCAACCAATATTGGTTACCATAATGGACAATTTTAATTTCTTCAATAGATTATCTCATTTTACTTGGTCAATATGAAGATTTTTTCACTTGGTATTATATTTGTCATTCTCTTCAGTCATCTATATAAGAATTGTTTTACTTGATTTACCAAGTTCGAAATGAGTTGATTTAGAATAAAACTATATCGAAATAGAAAAACAAAACTAGAAGATCTATTTGAAAAGATCTCACTATATTATACTTGTTAAGTCGTGCGATTCGTTCAAATATAACAATCTCTCTTCTTCTTCCCAGGTCAAACGACCCCAGTCGGATCTCGCCAGTTCGGAATAATTTCGATCGGATCCGGTCCTATATTTGTCGGATTCGATCGGTTTTTTATGAAAGATGTCGGATTCCGATGAAATCCGAGGCGGATCCGATCGAATCTACAGGTCGGATTGAATCTCCTGGGTTGTTTTCTTTCCTAGATTTACTTCAACACATTAGTTATCATAACAAATTGTCAATGTCTCACTTTTGTTAAAAGTTGAATTTTGAGATTTTAATCATGCATTCGACATTTTAAAAATAATCATTTACTTTATTTCATAATCATTCTTACAATATTGAAAAATTTTATTGAATTACTCAATAAAATCTCACGTACACTTTAACATTAGAAAAAGATTAGATCAATACTTTATAACAAAAAAAAAAAAAATCTAGTTCTTCTTTTATTGAAATTAAGAATAAATGCTTGAAAAATCCATCAAATAGAATTTATTCATATAAAAAAAATCGTTTAAAATCGAAATCAATCAATTAAATCAGTGACTATAAGTAAATGGAATAAATAATAAAATACCACAAAGTGGTTGATCGAAATAATCACCAGCTGTTTCGCCACATAATAGACATTGTGAAGGAAGAAGATGATAAAGTTCTAGTTCTAAACTTTCGATATAAGATCGATGGTGGTGTTATTCGACTAACTATTGATTGGAAACGATTAACAGTATAAATATATATTTCTATTGGATTTGTTTTTGAAGATTTATCTAATTATTGTTTATTTGCTTCATTTACTTGTCCACTTTTAGTTAATGTTTATGAACGATTTTTTTTTTAATCTAAATAAGGTTCATCTTTACGTTTGATTAAACGTCGTCAATATAGAAATAAACAATCACCATGAAAATAATGACGACAAGCAAATATATAAAATCTTTTTAGAGATTCTAACATGATCGTCTACGATATTTAGCTAAATGATTACCTATATCATAAACAGATTTTGATGCATCATTCACTTCATTTGGTAAATCATTTGAACGATGATTATCTTCTAATGATTTAATAATTGCTTTTTTAAATTGATAAATTTAATCAAAATCAGTAAATAATAGAAGAATATCTTCGATTGTTAACTAAATTATTAGGACAATCTTCAAGAAATTCCATAACTTAATTAAAATGATCTCCGTTGTGTATGAATGGAACTATCTATATTGAAATAACAAATAATGTTTTAAAAGTCAATAAATTTAATATAAATCAGTAAATTATTCATCATAAAGTCCATAGTCGTGTTAAGATTTCCCTTCCTATAATTAAAACAAGTCACTCAGAATCCTTGAAAGAACTTATCGTTTGGTTTTTTCGTTTTCTGTAAATAGATGATCAGTTTTTGAAAGTTTTGTCGGGACATTGAACTTTTCATCTCGTTTTCTCGATTTAAAAAGTAATTATATAAAAGAAAAAGAGCTCTATCATGCCCTACATCCTGACATATTCTATCAAACAAAAACAAAATCAAATATATAGAATGAAGACCTAAAGAGAATTTTTTATTGTCAAATGATCTATTTTTTTTTAATCTTTGTTTAGTCAAACAAATAATGATTAGAATATTCTATATTGATTCATTTAGTCAATTATTTCAATATGAAATCAATCTCACTTTTCAATAAACGTTACTCAATATATTCGAAATAAATTATCAATTCGAATTCTATAACACTGTTAGACATCGCACTATTAACTCAAAGAATGGATCCTATTTTATTGTTCAATATTATTCGATTTGAGAAAGTAGACTGACAATTTTAACGTCTCTTTAAATAACGTTTTCTCTTTGTTTTTATTAAAGAACATAATAATGAGACTCGTTCATAATAAAATAGGTGAATTGAAAACGTTGATTTCTATTAGAGTCTCATTATTATATATAGATACAATTAATTCTATGGATCTAAAGACAAAACCAGCATGATATCAGCTCAAAAAACGTTTATAGTTTAAATATATGACAGATTCAATCTTTCATTGAATTAACAATTTTAACTCAGAATTTATTCGCTCGTTCATCATTATTTGGAATTGTTGATGCACATTCTTTTGCTTATTTAACATTTACCTTAAATTTAAAATCAAGAATTAGTCATTGATTGATCGGTCTTTTTTTTGACTCTATTTATAACTTCTAAAGCTGTATGAACGGCTTCGTTCATGGATATTTAATATTTGTTAAATAAGCCATTATTTGACTAGGTGAAATATTTGACATACGTCCTCAAGAAGATAATTATTATCAATTGATTTATCAATAGACCATCTCGATAAACAATATGTTAAAAAATCTAATAAAGTTTTGCCCTCAAAATAAAGAAAATAAAAATATTTTTTACTGTTGTATATGCTCTTGAATAATCAATCATTCCTGGTTAGAATTCTTTAACTTAAAAACGTTGATTACATTTCGTTTTTCCAAAGAGATCTTAGATTTTCAAGTAATTTTTCAATTAATCTTGGTCAATAGTTATAAAGAAGTTGATAATCATTCTAAAAAAAAGTCAAATTTAAAAATTAAAAAAAAAATACTAATGATTGAAGTGTTTTTAATGCTTTTTGATAATCGTTGTATATGTTCACCAAATAAAATAAAATGATCTAGATCAGCATGATTTGTTAATAGATGATACCATAGCTGAACGATGTTCTTTAAGATATGATTGAATTTATCGTTTACGTTGAAAATATTGAAATGTTTCGACCAATTTCATAAAATATTATGTTTTCGACTATTTTCATCTAAAAATTGTTCATGTGATTGAAGATAAAATGGTGATCTACTATTTGAATAAGGTTATATTATTCTTCTACAATCGTTTTTGACATAATTGATCAAGTTCATTTTAAAATAAATCCGTTAATCATAACGGTTAATATTCTTATTTGTGTACTATCCTATTTTAAAAAGAAAGACAATCATTTATGTGTTATATTTGTTTTGAAATTTTTTTACTGTTGATAGTTTTAGATATTGTAAAAGAGGTTGAAGATATTCTCAAACTGGTTGTTTATCTCTTAAATCAAACAATTTAAATCTTACATGTTCAAATGATCTATACAATTGATTTGTTCTATATTGATCTTTATCATTTTTTGTTAAATAATAAAGAATTTTCTTTTCAATTCCATCATTTGGTTTGATTCGATAATTAAATTTTTCAATAAGATAATTAATAAAAATAATAATAGGATAAATATATTAAATATTAATATAATCATCGAGACGTTTGAGAATAAATGTTGTAATTGGATATATATTTTCAGTATATGGAATTATTTATATTTTAAATATAAATTCATTTAAAAGATTCGATTGATAAAATGTAGTTACATTAAAAAAGTTTAATAATGGATATTGTTGTTCATCTTCAAAAATTTCATCAATAAAACTTTCCAATAATAGTTGAGTGTTAGGTTTATAAAAGAATTGAGCATATGCTTGTTTATATTCTATAATTTCATGAGTAATTGAATTCATATGTGGCAATATGAGTTTTTGCTTCAATACAAACGAATTTACATTTGAGATGACTTCTTAATCTTAAAGCGTATGAAAGATGATAAGTTAGAAGGAAATTTAACCCACATCATCATCCAGCACTCTCAGAATTTCCTTAATCTTCGATGCTTCGCATGAGATTTGAGAGTGAAACTATTTTATAGTAATTGAGATGACATGTTAAAGTTATGATCTTAATACTGATCATCATGAAGAGTATAAATGTGTTGCATTCGAATATTCTACATATATTTTTATTGATTTTTGTAATCTGTAAATTTAAATTCATTAATTCTTAAATATTAGAAAGTTTTTGTTTCAGGAAATCTTTCTATCTTATATATATTTTTCTAATTTGAATAAATATTTTCAAATACTTTTTTTGATTTTTCTATTAAATTGAATGTTACTAAACTAAGAACATGAACATAATTTATTTTGCCAATCTTACAAAAAAAAACAACAAGACAACTATTAATCTATTTTTTCTAGATCACTATCAAATGTTGCTGTCCCTATATTTAATTCATTTGGTAAACGTGAATAAAGCACCGATTCATTATCACTTGTTACTTGAATTGATGTATATAGTAGTAGACTTTTATTATCATCAGCATCATTTGTTGATAAATATTCTTCATTATCTAAAATACTTAATGGTAATGAACTAACATCATCAATTGATTGTAAAGCTATAGAAAGATTAAGATCAGATAGTGATGATGATAAATATGTTTGATCAAAATGAAATAATGTACTATTTGAACTAATTGAATCGTTATCAAGAAAATTAATTTGTTCTGTTGAAGTTTTAATTGGTTCAATATTTATTTTACTAGGTGATGCAGCAGTTGATAATCTAAATTAAAGTTTGAAATTAAAATTTTTGATTTCTATTTTTTTATTGTATATACTGAACTTCAGATGTATGTAAACAGGGTGTGGGTGTGGGTGTGGGTGTGGGTGTGGGTGGGTGTGGGTGTGGGTGTGGGTGGGTGGGTGCGGGTGTGGGGTGGTGTGGGTGTGAGAGTGTGGGTGGGTGTGGGTGTGGGGTTGGTATGGGTGTGTGGGTGTGGGTGTAGGCAAGGGGGAAAGTGCAGGCACCCAGCACCTACAGCACGTATACCGCATTCCACTGTGAGCACCTACGGTACCGACGGCACTTTCAGCATCTTCAACAACTATTCTATTGTTTTAAGTACTTACGATAATGAAAGAATGGTTGCAGGTGCTGAAGGTGCTCATAGTGAAATGCGGTATAGGTGCCGAACAGGTGCTGTAGATGCTGGCAGGTGCTAATAGGTGCTGTAGGTGCTGAGCAGGTGCTGGGTGCTAGACGTCTGCACTTATCCCCTTGGTGTAGGTGTGTGTATGCGAGTGGGTATGAGTTTAGAATAAAAATCAAATCGCACCCACACCCACATCCACACTCTTCGATAAACTTAACTCCAACATAATTTAAACATGATTTCAAGTTGATCTCAACTTGATTCCAAGTTGATTTCAACTTGATTTCAACATGATTTCAACTTGATTCCAAGTTAGATTTTAGGTGGTCATAATTGAATTTGAAATTCATAGAAAGGAATGTTATAATACAATAATCGACATTTTTTAATAAAATTTGTCGAATCGACAAATTTGCGATCGACATTTTTTGTATTCGACAAAATTGTAGGCACTCCATACACTATGTCACACTTCAGTTTCTTTTTATGATGTCTGGAAGTTTTTTCTCTTTTTGTTCTTAAAATTGCTGTAAACGATATTGTAAACAGAAACAGAACAACGTACACTGTTGTTTAAAACTGCATGGCAAATTCTTATATCGGTACGTTTTTTCTGTTCAATTGAGGATTCAGTATCATATGAAGCCAATGGAAGTATAGGTGTGGATATGATTAAACCAAATATCAATACCCACACCCTTTTTCAAAAAAACAAGACATAACATCTATGATAATCGTCTTTGGTTTCGTTCTCATGCTATTGTAACCTATATCCAGTTGTAAAGTTGCTTCATTTTGTAAAACTCACTTCGAGACCCAAACCAGACTCATCGTTTATACGATTATAAAACTTTCAAATCCGTCGAAACATCAAATTTAGCAAAAAAGCATGTTTCTATATGGTACAAGGTAGAACAATGATTTTCATGCACATTTAATTATATTGCACCGCAAATCAGTTATTAGGAAACAAAGCGGATTTAATGCTAACTGAAAATCAATAGACATTAAATCAACATTCCATGAAGTTTATAAGACACAGATGCACAAGAATTCTTAACTAATTTTTTATTTATTTTCATTGTTTTTTATCTTCACTTTGTTCTAATTCTCTATTACTTGAAGACATAGAATGCAAATGTCAAGAAAAATGAATCAGCAGTTGATCATATATGTAATGGAAATGTTTCAAAAGTTCCTATTAGAACGTGCCATATACAAAAATTCGTCGCGAGAATGTTTAACCAATTGTTACTATATATGGCACTCCAAAAAGATAATTTTATCATTTATATAGTTTTAAAAAGGTTTGAAGCTGTATAAACTAAAACATCGAAGTCAATTGTGTCGTCATGTAAACAGAAATCATAAATTTTGATTGAACAGTGAACATATTTTTATAGAAATGCATTTATGCTATTACTGACGATAATATAAAAGAATTTGAAATCTATGCAAATCTGAGAAAAGCACGAATAATCAATCACATACAATCAACGCTTAAACTCTCTTAGAAAACACAGATTTACGAAGTGTCGTTTATCTAATCAACGGAAAACAGACATATACTTCACTAACACTATGATCCTTCTGATAATGTTCAACAACATTTATTAACCACTAAGTAAACTGAATCAGTTATATTCATATGTTGTTATAACGACTTGAATTTCGTTTAAAGTTACAGAACTGACGTATACATTTTAAATTTCAAAAAAGACGGAGTTCTCACTTCGAAATCGACATTTTCCTGAGCAAAGTGAAAACAAACGGTACTTCGTATCATAGTTTCGAAAAAAAAGTTGATCCTACAGAAACATATAACTATGTAACAACCTTTGCACGAAAATCAACGATCCTCCAATCTTTAGATCACCGTGACTTAAAATACGCTTTCGAATTATGTGCTTAAATTTTCCCAATGTTTGAAACATTGCCGTATTATTAAGAATATATTTTTTAAGGAACAAATGGTTTTATTTAGAAAAAAAAGTAAATATTATCTACATTCTGTAGAATTTAATGCAGAATAGCATTTTCGTTTTATTCGTTCATATCTAAAGGTATAGTATCATTGATGATGTTGATTGAAAATAATTCATACCTGTTGCTCTGTGACATTACTAAACCTTTATCATCAGTGACTATTATTTCCTTATATATATGTTTTTCTCCATTGATAATTGATTCCTTAACACATGTTGTTGTTTGTGTAGTACGAAGAGATTTTCGTTTATTGTTTTGTATTGATATTGTTGGTGGTGAATTTTCTGTTGTTATGCAGACAGGTGCAACAGCATCTAGTTTCTTTTTGCCTTCCAGTAAATCAGCAACATAAGCTTTAGCTGACAATAATGATGAAGTAGACATTTGTCGAAAATGTTGACGCTTTGTTGCCATCATTTTATTAAAACCATGATATGTTGATGATGACGATGAATGATTATTAAAATGATTATGAAAATATGTAGATGGAACAGATTTGTCCAAAAACGATGAAATTCTCCAACCAAAAGTCATACTTAAGAGAAGTAGAAGACACGTTGCTTGAAATAAAATTGTCATGAATATTCAGTATCTATGGTGCACTTGATATCAATAATAAAAAAAGACGTATGTTCGATTGACAAGATGCGACAAATTTCATATCAGTTCATTTGCATCTTAATATATAAATATGCAAAAGTGTTCGCTATTTGTGTTTTTCTTCTCTCTATATCAATCAATCCTCTATCATGTACAATTCATAATAAAAACAGATTAATGCTTGACTTTTTTAGACCACATGCCCATCTTTTCATACATTATAACTAAGATATTTACTGATTTCTGTATTAAATAAAATTGAATCATTGATATTTTAAAAAGATAGATATATCACTTGTTTGTAATCCTAGGAGTAAAGAATAGTATGAACATCATTTTCCGAAATAATCAAAATTAATTATGATTCTTTCTTGCTTTCTTTCTAATTCAATGTAGTGCAAGAATATCCGAGAAGAAGACTTGATGCATACTAACATAATTAAATTAATAGAATCACAAAAGCATGCGATCTTTCTTTTTTATCAAGTCTTAATGGAAAATATCGATATCCTTGATGTTGATTATGTTCAAGGTCCATTACAATATCAATATGAATATGAATACAGTAATATGCAATGTATCTACATTAAAACATTCATAAGAAACATATCTTCTAAAAATGAAGTCTTAACAATCGATTATTTAATAAGTGTATGTCTAATGTAGTACTTGAGTAATTAATCAATTGTTTTATAACTTTATTACGAAACATTTATGAAGTACTATTGAGCGACTCAATAAGGAAGATATGAATTGAATATGAGAAATTTTACTAGTCGAGTTTCTATTAGGGAAAGAAAAGAAAGAAAGAAAATATCTTTGCTTATTTTATTATCAGATACTTCTATATATATATTACTGAATAAATACATCTGAGAATTTTTCTCATGAACTTTACAATTACTCAAGCCTTCATATACGTATAAGAAAAGCTTTTCAAGTAAAACTGAAATTTTGCTCGTACAATAGCAAAAAAAAGTGATATGAGACTAAAGATAAATAAAGTTATAGTTGAGTGATACATTACATTTTTTCGAATTGATGAAAAATTCTTGATATATCATATTATCAACGTCATTTGTAATCGTGAATATTCCTATAATTTCTTATTGAACATAAGTCACAAAATTATCTCATTTATTTTTGCATGAATAACATGAAAAAAAAAGAAGCGACAAGACTGTTCCATACATAATTCCTCGAAGGGCTTTTCAACACAGGAAGTAACGATATAGAAAACATGTTTCTTAGCAAATCAATCAAAAATTGATTGATCTTATATTGTCTACATGTATAAAAAAAAGACCTTCATTTTACGATCAAAAGTTGCCGACAATATTCTTTTAATGCATAGTTTGACTAAAAAAGAAATATATGTAAAACAATACATATATATTTAAATAGTCATTTTTTCAATAGACATTCAAAAAAAAAACAAAAGGGATAAGGTTTTTACAATACATCGAAAAGAAAAAGAACAGCAAAATATTAAGTAATAGTTACAGTTAACATATTTGATGATAATGGTAATGGTAAATTTTTATGAGTAGTATTTGAATGATATCGTTTAGTATTAGTTGGTCTAACAAGATTTGTTCTTGATGTTGATTTCAAATTTTTACGTTTACCAATTGGATGATATTGATCAATAAATCGTACTTTAGTTTGTTTTAATATTTTAATTTTTTCTTGTTGTTCATCATCATCTGTACTAAAAGTCATATTTTGTTTTGATTTTTTTTGACGATATTGTATTAAACGATTTTTATATACTGTTGATTGTTTTTCTATATCACTTGTTTCATCATCAATATTATCATATAAATGTTCACTTGATGATGATTCATTATCTTCATTATGATCTTCATCAATCGTAATACCACGTAAACGTAAATGTTGTCGAAATAATTCTTCTTGTAATTTAATTGTATGTTGAAGATTATCATGTGTTGTATACATTGTAGAAGCAGCATTTAAAACACGTTCAAGTGATTCAATTTCATCAGAATATGTACTACTTGGTAAACTTTCAGCTGTATTATATGCACTTGAACTACTTTCATTATGTTTTGTTGTTGATATTGAACAATGATGATGAGAATAAGATGATCTTGTTGATGATCGATCGGTTGTCGATAGAGCAGGTGATGATAATGACTGATTTAAATTTGGTTGAGGAGTTGCAGATATATATTCAATATCTTCTTCTGGTTGTAATGTATAATATTTTGGTTGCTACAAAGACAAAAACAAAATTGAAATCTATGAAAATATTTTCAATTATATTCAGTAAAAACCTGTTCTTGAATTTTATTTTGTGAATATAATTTTAATTGACTAAGAAGTTGAGTAATATTTTCATCCTATTAAAAAGTAAGAGAACAATTAACTCTTTGTTTTCGAAAGAAAGTTTAAAAAAAAATAATTACATTGCATTGAGATGCATCAAATAATTGATTTGAACAATGTGGACATATTAATGATAAATTATTTTCATCTGTTTGACTTGAAAAATCTTGTAAGGATTTTACATCATTATTAGTCTATAAAATAAAAAAAAAAGGTATATTCAATCTGATTATAAAATCATATGGCGTTCATAAAGAAATGCCGCAAGACACTCTTGTACAGTTTCTTTAGTAATGCTATTCACGTAATCGTATTCTAGCACTTCTACTACTTTAATCCATCAAAGAAGCCTAAAGAGAAAATAACGTCGTCTGTCTTTGTTTTAGTTTAGTAGCGATTGTCTGACCGCCTGAAGGTGTCTTTTATATGATCCTTCACCATATATCCCAGACATACATACAAAGAGAATCTAATAAAATAAAATACAAAAAAAAAAGAAGCAGTGGCTTCTACGATTTTCATACTGTTTTCTTTTTCTTTTGTTTTCAACAAGCATCTTCTCAAAAAAAGCTACCGTCAAGTAGTAGAACTTAAACACTCGTCTAGTCCTATCGAAGGACAATTGTTGATATTGTTCTCACCGTGATAGAAAAGAGATTAATTATTTGATTATATCTATGAAACACTATAGCTCTAAAAAATCTTATTCTTTATGTCTATAAATCATTAGTGAATATGAGTAAGAGTGAATAAATGTTGATCTGATCCATCCTTCAACATTCACTATTATTACCACCCATTGACAAAAAGAAAACAATCAAATATATAGACACTAGATCTAGCAGACAAGAAAAAAAATTGTCCGTATAGAAAAAAAGATTACGATCGAATCAGGTGTTAAGACCTTTTTGTTTTTTTGTTTCTTCTTGTCATTTAATTATCACTTAATTTTTTTGATCAAAACCAGCTCTTGTTCTTTTGGAGTTTCTTTTCTTCTTCTTATTCTTATGTTCCTTTTTTGTATGACTGATCAATTTACATAACACTATCATGTTAGAATAAGAACAGAAATGAACGGTTCAATTGTTCATAATTGAGTTATAGACAACATTTTAGATAGGCCATGTGTCTTTTCAGAAGTAAACGGCAAGCAAATGTTGATCTGATTATTATTTCAAAGTGAACAAATACACAAACATGTGGTTTTTATATGATGATTGACGTTCAAATGTCTGTAAAACAGAAGTACTAACTAAGACAGCTAATTTAAATAAAGGACTATGAAATAAGAAATGTAGAAAGTAATGATAGACATTTTTTTTTTTATTTTATCGAATAAAAACGAATGATCCTTTACATATTTCTTGTTCTAAATCCGACTTATGTTAAATAAACAAAATAGATTAAACTTAAACTACGATTGAATCCTCCAAGGATGTAGTCAATTAATCCTTTTAAAATATCTTGTTTATTTTGATTTCCTATTTCTTTATTAAATAAATATGATTTCGAATTAAATAAAAAGAAAAAAGTCTAACTTATTTTACCTTTTTCTGTTGTTGATGTTTATAAATAAGATGAGCCATTTTCTTTTTATTTTGTTGTAAATCATTATATAATATTCCAATACGTTTAAGTAATTCACGTTCTTTTCTTTCATGTCGTAATTTTAATTCATCAATAATAATTTTTAATTGTTCTATTGTTTTTGATTTTTCATCAATAATATGTTTTGTAGTCATCATATTAATCGATGATTGTTGTTTATTGTTACGAGATAATATTGGTGAATTGAACATATTGTCTATCTAGAAAACACAGACATGGATCAACATGCATATGTTAAAGGAAATAGTCGACGCCTGTAGTTTATATGTGAATCGATATGTAAAAAAAGAAGGACATCCGTCTCGTATCAAAACGGATTTGCATATATGCTCGAGTATCAAGTTATCATAATCATTGAAAAAATTTGTCTATGCGAGACATTTTTACCATGAATAAGAGAAAAGAATGAAAATAAGCTAAGTCGATCAATCCCATTTACTTACCCATATAGAATCAAGATATGATGTTCATCTTCATTCTTTTCTTTTCTTCATGTGAAAGAACAATCTTCTTTCTCGATTGTCGAGTTATGGACAAGAAAAAAAAAAATATATATATATATAAGAAGAGGAAAAAAACCAAGGGAAAGAAAGAGGGAACTTCTTTCTCTTTCTAATTATATAACGTTGATCTAACCTGACACACACACACCAGCATTTTTCTTTACACATCATACATTTCCTGCTTTACGTTCATTCGTTCGTCAAGCAGATACAATTCACGAGTCGTGTATTGTTTGTACATCTGCACACATAACCTCCTCCCTTCCTTTGTCTAAGCCATCGCATGTACACACACACACGCATATATACATACAGGGCAGGTTCAACAAGATTGATTCTTTCTTTTTCTCTCTTACTCTCCTTTTTTTCTCATTGTACAATCAGAATATTGACTGTACGGATTAGAGACAAGCTCAATATGTTTTAAAGAATAGTGTTGGTTCTTTGCCACTATACGTATATATATATATGTATGTATATATCGTTCTCAAGTCAGGATAATAAGGCAATTGTCTAGGTTTCTCTCTATTGTTTGTCTGATTAATTAATTTGACATGAACAGGTGTCATATTGTCGTATTCACGCGTCGATGACTTAAAGTGGAAGTGTTCTATTGATGGGATATTTTTACAGTTTGACCAAAATAATTACTTGAAGCCAAAATAGAAGCAGAAAAAATGGTGCTAATAGCTACTAGTTTTTTTTTAGAATGACTAGAAGCGAAACTGATGTTCGTTTTTATCGAAATTTGAGAATATGTTCCATATTATATGTGTATGATTAAGTATCAGGTGCCTATTTCAACATTCTAATTTATTCATGAGAATAATAGTTAGTTCGTTTTGTTTATATATGTTATATGATGGTGCCAGATTGGAATGAACACTCGTTAACGAATGACAGACTCATATTCATTTGCATGTGGAAAATCAACAACCTTCTTCTCTTCAATTGTTATTCTTTATGATTACACGCACTCGCTATGACTAGGATGATTAGATAAACAGATTCACTTGCGCTCAGATAGACATATACATAATGAACCAAAAAAGAAGAAGAAGAAAAAAAAAGTTCGTTTAAAAAATCGCCTGACTAAGGTCAACATGTTAAAAGCATGAACATTTTCCTTACTAGAGCGACACGTCAGTTCCGGAAATGTATATATTGGTATATTTAGCATAATAGAAGATTGTATTAATAGTATAGTGAATGTCCTTCATAAAGCAACACTGGTGGTAGTGGTGCACACACATATTATGTGTGAAATGATTATATAATGAATGAAGCGTACAGAGGCGTATGCAAGTATCATAACATACACACAAGTGGAATCTTTGTTTCACATTCATCCATCCATACATACACATATGATGATGGAATGACGATAAAAAAAAAGACAGAAAGAATAAAGGACCTTGATGAGAGGTGTCTTAGAAATGTCACGAGTATACATAGATGTTATATGTATATGAGTGCGGCACTTCGAGCGACAACAGAACTGAGAACTACTATTGATTATTATAGACTGAAAAAAAAGTAATGAATGGGTAAGACTATGATGATAATAATGACGATAATGATAATAGTGATTGGCACCTTTGGGTGTGTTCTTGAGTTTCTTACTCTCTTTCAAGTAGTAATAGACGATATATGAGACAGCAACGAATCGATAAAGGTCGTACAGACAGGTTAAACAAATCGGCGACGCGACTCTTCATGACAAAAGTCTCATGTATACATACACACATACATCTTGTCAAATGTTTAATTACACGACGAAACATAGAATCTCATCACAAATAGTGAAGAGTACGTGTCGATAAATAATAAGAGTGAACAATAATGAAGCAATGAAAAAAAAGAAAATAAGATAAAGGAGGTGGAGAATAAAAATAGTTTTCCATTAGAAGCACTATCATGACACACACTCATATCTGGCTTCTTCGTGTTAATCTATCGTTCGATTATTATTGAATATCTCTTTTTTTTCAATTAAAATTGAACTTCTACTGTTGAATGAGCCATGAAAGGTCGTTTCACGGGTCATCATCAATCGCCATTCAACTTAGATATAGTGAAAAAGACATGAACAGAAGTTCGCTTCTTAAACGACATCAAACAAATTTAAATAACTATTGATGTGTCTGATTTTAATCATGTTTTGTACTCATCAGTATCGTCCTCTCATTGATTACCATTCACATGGTGTCATATTTTGTTTTTTTTCTTGTCTTTGAATTAAAGCATCGCAATAGAACTCTGAACATTACACACATACAATAATTGTACGCATCATTTCATAACAATGTTTTCAATGAGTAGTGAAAAAGATATACAATAAACTAGAGTAATGAAGCTCACAAAACAAATAGTGGCATCGATATATATATATATAATATCCTGTGTATGAGATATCCGGTCATCATTGTCTGCATGCAATATATTTGAATTGGTTTTATGATGATGCACGCAATGATCTAACTACATCTACTAACGCCTATACTTGATAACATGTCAAAATGCTTTTCCTTCTACTTATTTAACACTTTTCACCTGTCATGATCATTCTATAATTACATTTTTTTGTTTTATTCTCAATGAAATCAACGTGTATTATCTATCGCATGTATAGAAATGTGTACGTTTGCATTAAATTTATCAAATTAGAAAATTTATATGTCATGCGGCAATCAAACGGGCACCCGATGACAAACAAAAGTTGCCTCCTGAGTATAAGAAAAAAAAAGAAATCTAGACACAAATGTAACCTACAGCTCACATTAGTAGAGAAACAATCCAGTAGTATATAGTATAGAAAATGAACATGTTACGATCAAAATTAACTTTTGGCTATAGTGTTCAGCTTCTCCTAATGATAATGATGATTGACAAGTGCAAAAAACTAGCCCTACCGGCTGTTCAGCACTAATCATATAGACATTTATCGTGAGAAAAGAGAGAACGAAAGAAATTAAGGTGTCAGACAAGTGCGTGTAGCGTTATCAATCTTGATATCAATCACCTAATATAAAAGCCTCTCATTTTATCAAATTTCGAAGTAATAAAATAACACCCTTCCGGTTTCACTCACCTGCAATATCGCTATGGCATGCAATGATGAATAGTTGATAGATTTGATATATATATATAGAGAGAGAGAGAAACAAGGTAATTCTTTCTTTTTACAATAGCAATTCAATGAGTGTATAACGAAAGAAAGAAAGAAACAAAGGTCAATTGACATACTTGTTATTACTTCAATTCTGATGAATGATGAAAATGGTGTTTTGTTTGTATCTTGTCTCTTACATAAGCATATTGATGTAGAAACAATGAGTATGTATTTTATGGCGTCCATAGAAGATTGTTACTTATGCTATCTATGTAATTGTACTATCTTTAATGCGTGTCTTAGTTTATTCCTAGAGATTGCATCATCATTTTTAAAATTACATGCATCAAATCCGTTGTTATAACTTCCAAGAAAAAAAAAGAGAAAGAAGACAATATGAAACAATGTTCATAATTATAGCGTAGAAAATTTTGCAATACATTCAACGTATGTATTACTGAGATATGATAGTTTCCTTTTATTCAAAATAAAAATTTCCAAATACGCGAAATCTCTTACAATATTGAGCAAGGTCTTAATTTTCACCAGGCGATTTTTTCTGGAAATGTATTTGCCATAGGTGAATACGTTCCTATAGTGAACTTCAATATTGTTTTTACAGTCTCGATTAATATATTAACCTCTTTTAAATGAGCATATGTGCAGTTATTTTTCTCTTTCTTCTTTGTAATAACTGTACATATCAGGAAACACCAAGACATCACAATGTGAATTTATTGAAAACTTGAATATTTCACTTGATTTTGTAGTCGATATTTTAAAACGAAGAAAAGAATATTTAAATGATTATTAAGGAGACTAAAATCAAAGTATTAATCACAAATTCAAAACCTTTGACATGATACAACTTTATTTAATATATGTATATATTTGAATGAATCGTAGGACAAAACAAATTTTTGTATTCTGTTGAAAATTTTTTTTGAATTCATAAATATTCAAATGAAAGAAGCTAAACAACATAGATCCATGGTCTCTGATTACTTTAAAACTACTAAAAAAAAACTTATATTGTGAAACTTTTTTCATTTTGTAGTAAAATATATCATATCTCTCATAGATGAACGCCTCTGAATATTGAACACTTTTTGAAAGTTCCCATAGTGGTCATTAATAAGACAAAATTTTACTGTAATCATATTTTATTAAAATTATAAAGAACCTTGAGGATTAAATACGTTCCATTGTACCAAAGGTAAAAGTAGAAAGTTTCAACAAGTGGATAAATGTTGACTTTAAAATAACAAATCAAAAGATTTTCTTAAAATCGAACATCATGTGGCAAACCTTTCCAGGCGTGAAATCACTTTTCGACTAAGGCCATGTTCATTTGATAAATTCCAGCGAGTAATAGAAAAATCTGGATTGGTTTAGTTTTTCTGAGTCTTCATTCTTGACATATCAAGGTTCAACCTGAAACTTTGTATGAACAACGTTCTCAATGAGATTGGTTGATTGTGTAAGTTTTCGGTTTTTTACTATTTCCTTACTAGAGATGTAAATGTCGAAGTTGAATTTAAATGGTGAAGTACTAAATGTTTATTTATACGGTAAGTATCATGTTTATTGAATAGATAAAGTTAAGAAAAAGGAATGAACATTTAAAAAAGACATAATAATAGTGAGCAGGGTGTATATGTGAGTTTCCCCTTCACGCCCACATCGAAACTGACATTCTGATTGCCATTTGATGCTCAACGCTCTTTTAAATAGGTCGCTAGCATGGAGTAGAATGATTCCTTGATTATTAAATATTATGATGGTACAACTATTATTACGAAATTCTTTGGTTAAATCCACATCGAAAACGTTTCATCAGTTGAAGATTATTTACTATCACTGATGGCATAACAATTTTACGTTTATACATTTTAAAGTCAATTAGTTGACTTTTCAATTTCAAAGACAACTAGTTGACATTGAAAGATAACTGAATTTTAAATTCAACTTCGACATAAACATATGAAACATGCACTTATACACGTAAGCGATTTTCGAATATTGAGCATCTTATGATAAGAAACACTTGAAAATCTAAATATTGCATAATCAACTAATCTCATTAAGAAGTTTGTTAGTGCAAAGTTTGCAGTCGAAAGTTGAAAGTTGGTGTGTCACATGGACTACAGCTTTTTGTTAAAAAATCTAATAAAATCTCAATATCTCGAGAATGAAGACTCGGAAAACCGAATCATTTTAGACTCGTCTATTATTCATTAATACTTATCAAATGAATACTGTCTTGGTCAAGAATCGATTTAACAGTTAGTGATTTTCTTCGTCAGTAGAGAAATTTCAGCATAAGTTAGATTCTACGATTAATGGACGAGAAATCATGTGTAATATAGAATTATTAGCAAATATTTATTGGGGTTTATATTTTGGACAAAATACAAATATAAAGTGAAGTGGAAAATCTATAATTAACTGATTTTTGCTTTAGCTTGTTCAGAACGTTTCATTTCATTTGTAATTGCCGTAAAATCATGAATAAACATATGAACCTTAAATAAAGAATATAAAACTTTGATGAACGATAAACATATAAATAATTATACTTTATCCATTTGTTGTCGAACTCTTTGTATGGGATCTTCAGTTTCACCACCTTCTTCTTCTTTATCAACTTTTTGTTGATGACGTACAAGTTGTTGTAAATTACGTACAGCTCTAAAGTGATGATAAGAAAAAAACAAATAATAAAATATTTGAACAAGAAACAAAATTTTTTTATAATAGAATATACAAGATAACATTGCCAAGTAGTAATGTTTTTTCAGCTGCTGTTGTTTGAATAAAATTCCATTCATTTTCAGCACTTCTTGCTTCAATTTCAACTCGTTCAAGTTCACGTTGTAAATCACCAATTCGATTATTTAATATTAATATTTCATTGTTCTTTTTCTATATAATTAAATGTAAAATCAAATAATGATAATAAGAAGAAAAATAAAGAACTAAAAAATAAAAACTAACTTGTATAAATGCTTCTCGTTTTCGACGTAAACCTTCTAATTGTTCTTCACGTTGATTTTGAATTTCCAATAAAGACTAAATTACGATAAATCGAATTTTTTCAATCGAAAAAAAAAAACCTTTTTCCATTGAAATATTTACTTCTTTATTTGTTTTTAATGTTGTATAACGATCGATTAATTCACGAATTTCTTGAAACTCATCAGCTGTTTCAACAGTCTTAAAAATTAAAATAACAATATTCAAAATATAGAAAAGAAAAACATACTTTTTCAAGATATTTATTATGATTAGCATATTTAGCAATACGAGCTAATAATTCTTCTCTTTTTTGTTTTAAATCATCGATTTCAGCTTGTAATTTTTCAATATCTTTATCTTTGACTGATGCAAGTTCACGTTCATCTTGTGCTCGTTTAAGTGCTCGCATTCGTTTGGAATCAAGTTCCTAAATAAAACAATTTATTTATTCTTTTAAATAAAAGAAAAAAGATATACGTACATTGATATATTTTTCAAAATTAGCTAAACTTTCACGTAATTCATGTTCTTTTGTATTTAATTTTTCACGACGTAATTTTAAACTTTGCATTTTTAATTTAAATTCCTATTTAATTCATAGGAGACAAAATTTGTAAAATTTTATTTATTTAAATTACTTCTTTTTGATTAGCTAATAATGCTTCGGCTTCTGTAACTTCACGTTGTTTTTCTAACAATCGTGAAGTTGATGATAAATGTTCATGATCACGTTCTGGTGGTGCGCTGAAACAAATTCAGAAATAGTTAAAAGTCAAACCATTTGTTTGTTGTCTTTTCTTACATTGCTAATTCTTTACTTAAAGCTGTTCGAAAATAATCTTCCATGAATGACGTCATAATTATATCTGAAGATAGAAGAAAACAAAAAACTTTACTAATTCATTATATCAACTAAATGTATAGAAAGAAGTGAGAAGAAAAAATAACAATTGAGATTTTTAAGGACGCTGCCTGATTGATAAAAAAAACAATGCAAAAACATATTAGTACACGAAAAATCTTTTTTTTATCATTTTCTAAACGTTTTATATCGTTATTTGTTGTAATACTCCGTGGTTTGTTGAGGATTTGTTCGACATGCACAACACAAACAATTGACGTTACTGACATCCGTCGGTGCACAAACACAATCAAATCCGCAACACTAAAATAAATTAATTTTTTATTTTAAAAATTAATGACAAAAAGAAAAAATTCTAACTTACATTGCAACCTTTTCCACCACAACATGCTTCACATGTAATAATATCAGCAAATTCGAGTGACTATTTCATATATTGAAAAATAAAAATCCTTGAATAAAATTTTATAATAACATACTCCGCGTTTTGGACAACATGCATCAAAACATGATTCAATAGATGTTGTATGACAACAATCACATGTTTCAGCACATGATGCACAACATTCTTGGCAACCCAAACATTGAACACCAGCTCCTTGAAAATTACAACAATCTTTCAGTATACCACGAGACTTTTAATAATAAATATAAAGTAAATAATCATATAAAAACAAATATTCTATTTTACCGTAAGAATTTCTCGAATAATAATTATGACAATGAGAATGAATATCAGACTACCGAGTATAATTACGAAAATATATGGCGGTGCTAATGCGAGATTATTATTATAAAGACTACCGATACCACCCGGTAAAAAAGTATTAGACTATAGAATAAAAATAAATAAATAAATAAATAATAATTCATATGTATATTTCTTTCAAATTGAAATTCAATACTTGTACGGTAGATGACATTTTACAATAATTATTCAATCATAAAGATTATTTTTTTTCTTACCGCTTATAATTCGATATATGTTTTTTTTTTACAAGCATTCCTTCATTTCTTCATTTTTCTCTATGACACAGCCTCTATTCACACATATGTATCGACAAAAATTTACAAATGCATTTCGATGAATGGTAAGCATGGTAACGACATTTGTTGTTAGGGATATTTATGATGCTAATGGCTGATCGGAGACTTTACTTATCATTGGCATCAGAAGTATTCTATTCATTGAAATACATTCTATTCATTGACATACAATGGCTGACGACGAAGAAGAAGTGGGCGAAGAAGAAAATACAAATAACTTAGGCGTATGATCATTTCTATTTCTATTCCTATATTTGTTATTGATCAGATTGTGGTTAAAAATTTTTTCTTTTAAAGTCTTATGAAGGTGATCGTAATGAAAAAAATGAACGTCATGGTTTTGGAAAAGCTACATTGCCTAATGGAGATACATATGAAGGTCAATATCAAAATGGAAAACGACACGGTACTGGAACATATCGATTTTCCAATACTGCGCGTTACATTGGTGAGTACTGTTTTTTAACTTTCATTATATGACATTGTCTTTCGTTCATAAAAAAAATAGGTGATTATGTGAAAAATAAACGACATGGTAAAGGTATATTTTATTATCCGGATGGCTCAAAATATGATGGTGATTGGAATGAGAATGTTCGGGAAGGTTACGGCACATATACATATCCCAATAATGATACTTATGAAGGTGAATGGAAGAATCATCAAAGACATGGCAAAGGAACATATACTTATGCAGCTACAAGTATGTGTTATATCGATTGGCTTTGTTTATATTTTCGAAGTTATAAAAATTTTTTTACAGAAGCTCAGTATATTGGTACATGGATTAATGGTAAACGACAAGGTCCGGGTGAACTACAATTCAATCGTTATAGATATGTTGGCAAATTTCGTGAGAATTATGTATGTAGTTTATGAAAAATCACAAAATATAAAAAGTTCTAATGTTCAAAGAAGTAATTGACTTGCTGATAATTTTTTATAAGACAAAATATATATATTCATAATAATGAGAATGCCATATTAAAAAAGCTCTTAATGATAAACAACAATTTTTGTTTTGTTTTTTTTTAGCCGAAAGGTAAAGGAAAATTTGTATTCAAAAATGGATATCAACAAAATGGAGAATATCATATCACATCAACAGTAAGTCATTTTTTAGTGCCAAAAATATTAAATTTATAAAGCTAAATAAATTGTAGACTACTGAAGATGATTCAGAAGCACCGCCTGAAGTACAATACAAATGGATTGCACATGATGTCGTTCCAACGGAACAAGAACAACCATATGATTTAGATGATGAACAAGCAGAAACAGATAGAACGCAAGGTAATTTCGTTGTTTTTTTTCTTTTTTTTTCCTTCATTACATTTACAGAATAAATTTAACCTTAAAAAGTTCTATAATATACAATATTTAATTGTATGATATTGATAACCTTGCGTACTCTTGATGTAGTTTTTAATTAAAACTGATAATTGATGATGCAATTTTATTTTTTTAGATCACGATACTCTGCAAAACACAAATGTTGTATCTGGTAAGAACGTTTTTTTTTTGTATTGGTATTGATAAAGCTAAAATTATCTATGCATGTATATAGATGGTGATCATCTAGATAATGAATTGAATGCAGAGACAAGCAATGCAGCAGATGAAAATGAAGATAACGATGAAAATCAACTATTCAATGACGGTAAATATAATAGTGTCCTTTGGATTTTTTTACTCTATATTTATCTTATTTACTTTTAGAAATACAGGGCGCAGAACAATTTGAAGAAGAAGGATGAACTATTATTTCTTTTTTTTCTCCCGCTTTTTATGTTTTTTATTATCTAAATAAAGGAAAAACAATGTTTTTTAGAAAATTTCAAACGGCTAATTAGGAAAGTTGAAAAAAAACAAACATGTTATGATTGCTAAGTAAAGAAAAAAAAAACTGAATTAACAATTGAAGATAATATTGAAAAGAAAAGTAAGAAAAGTTATCACTCATAAACAGTTATTACATGTGAACAAAACAATAGGAAAAAAAAAGGGATGTAAGGAACTAACTAAATGTAGCACAAAAAAATATGTTCACATTGCAAAAAAAAATGTGAGAAAAATGTATTCACTTGTTCTTTCTTTTTTTCTATGTTAATATGTTACGGTATTTTAGTAAAATGAAAAAATTTAGAAAAAAAAGTGTATTGTAACATCGAAGAGTGTCAATATGAGCGTGTATAAATTTTCACGGGATATTATTGTTAATGAAAAAAAAAGGTGAAGTCTTCAGAACGAAAAATTATTGTCTAATGATGGTGTTTTGACTTGCCACTTTTGTGACTGTGTTTGTGCGATTTCTTGCCCTTCTTGTGTGAGTGGTCATCATCTTCTTCTTCTTCTTCTTCTTCATCGTCATCGTCATCAGTATTGTCTTCTTCTTCTTCATCTTCTTCTTCGTCATCATCATCAGTGTCGGTGTCTGTATCGGTGTCTGTGTCAGTGTCTGTATCGGTATCCGTGTCCGTGTCAGTATCCGTATCGGTATCTGTGTCAGTATCCGTGTCGGTATCTGTATCAGTATCCGTGTCCGAGTCGTCCTTTCGTCTTGGGCGGTTACCCTTCTTTGCATCAGCACGATATTCTTCAATGTTTTCAAAGACTTCAGCGTATTCTTCCATTTCTTCTTCCGTATTGCCTATAATTACATCAATAAATGTAAAACATCTGCAACAAGTCAAAAACCATTCTTACCGCCTGCACACTCTTCGCTGCATTCTTCGCGTCTTGCTGAACCACAGTTCATCCTCCTCATACATTCGTTGTACGATAAAAAGATGGAAGCACGATCACGAGAGATGAAGACAGCTAAAATTGATAAATTGAATGATTATATATATATATATATATGTATATATATGTTTATATATATAGAAGACATTTTGTGTCCAATATAGTTAGTTTAGAAAGAGAGAGATAAAGATCGTATGAAGCTAGCATGAGTGAAATAGATACACGAAAAAAACCAACATAAAACATTGAAAGACACCACATTGCAAGGGGTATATAGGTTATCATTGTTCAGCTGGCAACTCGAAAAGTGAAGAAGAAGAAAAAAAAATATTCTAACCTAATAAAAAAAAATTCCGAAAATTAAGTTAAAGAATAGGAAAAAAATAAAAGGGTATCATTCTCACACCGGATGTTCCCTCGATAATTTAATTCTTATGTGTTGAACTAGTTGTTGATTGTTTTCCTGATGTTGTCGAAGATGATTGTGGTTTTTTATTTTTAGCTGATTGTTTATCATCTTCTTCTTCTTCTTCTTCGTCTTCACTACTTGGATCACTTTCACCATCGGATGTTGTTGAATCACTTGAACTCTCATCACTGTCATCAGTGTCATCATCTGTGTCTGATGATGATTCTTGTTGTTTTTTATTTGTTTTTTTGGTTGCTGATTTCTTTGAATCGGATCGATATTCTTCAATATGTTCAAAAATTTCAGTATATTCTTCCATTTCTTCTTCAGTATTGCCTATATAATTAAATAAATATATTGAGTTTTTTTTAAAACAAATTAAAATATAATTAGATTGAATAGTTCAACCAATTTTTTTCAACTTACCAACAGCACATTCTTCACTGCATTCTTCCTTGCGTGACGAACCACAATTCATACGTCGTACACATTCATTGTAGGAGAGAAAAATCGAAGCTTTCTCGCGTGGTACGAACACTACTGAAATATCAGCAGGCAAAACAAAAAAAAAAGACGCTCTCTCAATCACATATATTTGATTATAAATCAGAAATTGAAAAATTTGCTTTACACGATCTTTGAATTCTCTCTTTCTTTGTTTGTTGGAATGTTTTTTTAGTTTTAGTTTTGAAAGTTAATCTGTATATTAGTTACAATCACCATAGGATATTTTTCTTCGTTATTAGAGAGCAAAGTTAGTTTAAAAATCTTACCTTTTTTGTCATCATCATCATCATCATCGTCCGAATCGGTATCGCTATCGGTATCAGTATCGGTATCAGTATCGGTTGTGCTAGATTCCTCTTCTTCTTTTTCTTCTTTCGATTTCTTGCCTGCATCGACTGTTCTTGTTGTCAAACCGATGGACAACAAAACAACCAAGCAAGTGACCAATAACCAGTTAAGATGCATCGCGATCACTGATACTTAATATTTGATAATGGCAAGCAACGTACTAAAAAAAATATTTGTTTATATAGAAGTGAAAAATAATTATATATATGTTAATCGAAGCATATACATTTATTTAAGAGAAAAATATGGTTTCAGGTATGCGTATGTATATGTTTCATTGCGGTTAGGTATTTGCTTCTTTTTTTTTCTTTGATGGGGTGTGCTACGGTCGACTAAGCATAAGCGCATAAAATAATGTGTGTATGCAAAGAAAAAGTAAATCGTAAAAATATGCAGTAAAGGAGCACTTGAAATAGAGAGAAGGGGGGATGATTGGTTGTAAGAAAAGATAATAGCAAAAATATATAAAAAAGCCTAACCTGAGCAAGAGGGGGAACTCGAATTCGTCGCGCTTCGATTCTTCTCTCTTTTGTGCGTCGGTAACAACGAAGGTGACGAAATGCCGCTTAGGAGGATGATCTACAAAATATAGCTTAGTAGAAGACGAAGACGATAAAAGAAAAGAAGAAAATATCCATGTGTATATGTGGTTTAGAAAATGCCAGTTAGATTGACACGAACAAGAGTCTTTGCATTGCAAATGTCGACATAAATTTTTTTCTCATCAAATCGACTGACAAAAATGAACAACTAACTTCTTAACATTATCGTTATCGTCTATACTAATATCAACCACAAAAAAAGAAGAAGAACAACAACAACACAACAACCTGTCGCAACAGCTTGAGTTCGATTGTACAAGCTAGCGGAAAAAATAAAGAAAACAAGAAGCAGAGAAACAGAGAAAAAAACAAGAAAGAACTTAATAAGTAAACACTCAATAAACATATCTAAAGGAAGAATACTGACGAAGACGATAATAATAATAATAATGATGCTGCTACTACTGCGGTTTTCCTTGGAAGATAGAGGAAAAGGAAAAAAACAAGCAAACGACTAACAGACGACATATGTATGAGTAATAGTAACATGCAAACCAAATCCTTCTTGGTTGGTATTTTTTTTGTGATAATCTATACTCTTCTTAGACCCTATGCTTGTTTTCTTTTCTTTTTGTTGTTATCGCCTACAAGAAGAAGAGAGACCGAAAAAAATTATCTTGTTTGATTTGTCTCAATTCGTTGCATCGATTTTTTTGTTGATCATCATTAACCACCTGTTTTTAAAGAATATTTTGACAGTATAAGTTGAATAACGTTTTAGTTTCTTGTCATTAGTAACGACATATGCAGTCAAGTGTGACAATAAGTTACAAAAATGCATACGTAAAATATATTCGCAAGCGATGTACAACTATCTTGCCTATCTGAAAACACAAGCAAAAGGGCTTTTGTCATGTCTCTCTCTCTCTCTCTCTCTTGCTCTCCACTAACGACTATTTCAAGGTCTCTTCGATTATTACTGTACTCCTTCTCCTTTCTATGTTTGTCGCATCATTTCAACGACAGCAGTCGGAGCGCAGAAACACATAATTTCTCTCAAATATTCGTCGCTGTTGTTCTGCTTATTATTATTGTTGTTGTTGTACAATTCTAGTAGAGTCTGTTCTGCAGCTGCACACAAATATGCACGTCGAAGAAAAAAGAGGAGGAGAAAAAAACGATGCATGTGCGACACGACATCTTTGTTCTTGTAAACATCAACACAAAAATTCTATCGCATGTATAAAAGGAAAGAAAAGCTTTAGATACCAATCGGATTTTTATGCACAACAAAAATAGAATATCCGTCTATAGGACATCCTATTATGATTGTTTGATTGTGATGCTACTTCTATGAGATGTCGATAATCAAGGCAATTGTAAAGATGCTAATGCCAGATAGACACAGGATACAAATCATTTTGAATCAAGAATGCATTATGATAACTTTCATCATACCATACATCAATTACTTTTAGCCATATTCATGTAACTTACCTTGCGGTCAAAAATATGTTTCATATAATTATTTATTGTTATTATCATTAACCTTTTCACATATATATATTTATTCAAAAAACTTAAACGAATCCTTAGTTATTAATTGTGTCGTTGTTTATGTCCCCATCTTTTTTTTTTATTCAAGAGTCTTTCAACTTAACAAGACTATCCGACGTATACAGACACACACACACAAGCACAAGAAAAAGAAGGAAATAAAGAATTCAGAACAGAGGAAAAAAATGATCGATAGTAGAAAAAAAAAGATAGACAGACACACACACACACACTGACACATGTAACATGAAGATCAATTTAGAATAAGAACAACAGTGAATGTCTCATTGAATTCATCTTTTGTTTAGTTCTTATTATTGAACATTAACATTTGCTTGTTTAGCTTCATTAAATTGTTTAACAAATTTTTTTGCAATATCACTTGATTTAAATCTAATACATAATGTTTCATGTTTAGCTTCACCATCAGCAAAATCCATAGCTGACCAAACATATGCATTTTCTGAACCTTGATGTGGTTTTAATTCCATTTGTGATGTTATCTGATGATTAGCACATAATTTTAAAACTTGTTCACGACGCATTAATATACGATAAAGATTTTTTGTTTTATGTTGTAAAATTTTTATTTCACCAACACCACGTTCTTTCATTTGATTTGATTCAGCATCGAATCGATAAAGTTTTCCACGTTCACAAAAGAGAACATTTTCATCTTCTTCACCTGTTTTAACTTCAACAGCCGATAATTGTACAATTGGTTTAAATGAAACATTTGGTTCATATGACTCATCTTCACCACCACCACCACCACCACCACCATCACCTTCTTCATCTTCATTTGTATTAGCTTTTATAGTTGTATTTGTACCAAATATAAGCGAACCTTGACCAGCAAAAACTAAAAAAACAACAACAATATACGTAAAATGAAATATTTTCAAAAAAAAAGGATATATTTGATACCTCGTTGTTCAGTTCCATTACTAGTTGATTTATCATTCATTGTTGTTGATGATTGTTTAGCTACATCAGAAAAACTAAATTTTGGTGTATTACCAAAAACGGATGTATTAGCTGTGGCTGCTGTTAATGCTGATCCAAATGAAAATGTTGATGATGTATTTGTTGTTGATGTTGATGTTGCAGCTGGTGTAGAAAATTGAAAACCATTTGTAGGTGTTGTTCCTGTTGTATTACCAAAACCAGGAAACGAAAATCCACTACCATTAGTTGATGATTTTATTGATGCACTACTACCAAATATGGAACTACCAAGATTATTTATTGGTGTTGAAGTTCCAAATATTGATGTACTAGAAGTACCATTCAAATTTCCAAATATTGATGGTTTACTATCATATTGTGATGTTGCATTTGCAGCTGGTGATGATGATTCAACAGATGATTTTTCTTCTTTTGGTATTGATGTTTGTTTTTGAAATTGTGTTTGTTGTTTTTCAGCATTTGTAAATGAAAATTTAATGTTTTCACTTGAACTTAATGGTGTTTTTGGTGCTGATGTTGTTGATTGTGGTTGAGGAGCTAAATAAATAAACAAATAAAGATTTATTTATTATAATCAACATTTAATTTACTGGTTATTTTTGTATCATTTTTAACTACATCTGTTTGTTTGCTGGTTGTTGTTTTATCTAAATAAACATAAAAGTATTTATTGTTAAAAAAAAAAGATTAATCTATTCTCTTCTATTTATCATTAATAGGATATGGAATATTCAATACATACTTTCATTAAGTACAATTGGTGGTGTATCTTCTTCACAACCTGGACAACCTTTACATGGTTCTTTATTTTCATATAAATAGAATGTTGATGGTAATTGAAGTTTTTTTGCTCGATCAATTTGTTCGGCTGATGGTTTAACTTCACCAATAGAAACAACATCTAAATATAGAAATAAAAATTTATAGAAACAAATAACAAAATTTAACGAGACATAATCTCCTCAGATGTCCTCTTTTGATTTTAATGTTTGATTATCGATAGATACTAAATAGTGTTCTAATAAAAATCTTCAAAAGCTATTAGAATTTGACTAAGCGATGGAATTTTTATCTGACAATTTGCGCAGATATACACCAGAGCTTAGAACGATCTGTTCGGTAGAACTTTTTTTTAAGCAAATAAAATTAATTTTACTGATATTAATAACTATTTCTACAAGTGCATAAAAATTCGAATATCTCTATGAGGCGAATATTCACCAAACCACATGTAATAAATTTTCTAAAATTCACTTTAATCTCAAGTTTTATTATCAAAACAAAATGAAATCATTGTTCGTCATTGAAATTTATCAAATATTCATTTTCATTTCGTTTTATTTATACCATATCTTCCACAGAAACATACGAGATATCAAAACAAATCTATTTTAAGAACCAGCGTACGATACTAGTATAGTATTTTTAGTTCTAAAAAACTTTTGGCCCATTGATAGATGCCACAAAAAAAGAAAACTTATGAAAATAGATAGTAAACAAAAATCTTTCATCACTATCCGTATGAAATTGAAATAATAAACAAGATAGAGTTCCTTTAACTATGGAGGAAAATTACAATATCTATATGACAGACCATACCAAACTTATTAACATCTTTCCCAGTGTGTCAGTAAGTAAATAGAAGATCGGCATGTTTATCACAATTTTCAGAGCAATCTCGTCAAGATCGACTCAATTTCATTTGTCATATCCTTCAACACTCATTAATCATTGTGTTTCACAAAACTACGTCAATAGTTAAACAGGGGCCTTGTGTGATGTCAGTAATAATTCATAAATAGATATGGCTCATCGACAAATTAGTTTGAGTGTTCTACGATAAGAAAAGTGGAACATGATTTATACCGGTTCGATCTGACCGGTATCAGTAAGGAAAAATCCTACTGTTAATAGAAACCACTCTAGTTAAATTCTCAATATGTACAAAATTTCATATCAAAATTCGATTTTTTTAGTCAAATCTCAATAAAAATTCAAATCTGTTTAGAGTTTTTTGTTTTAGAACACTGTAATATCTTATAGGTGAAAGAAAAAAATCATTGAAAATGAACGAGGACATCAGAAAAGATTTTCTCATACATAATTATTAATCATACCATCATCATTAGTATTTAATTTTGGTTTTGTTTCATCATTTAATGAAATTTTTCCAACAGATGGTAAATCACCGGATTTCTTCATATTCATTTCTTTTGCTTGATTGAATACTTTAAAAAAGTTTTTAGCTTGTTCATCAGTTTTAAATCGAACACATAATGTTTCATGTTTAGCTTCACCATCAGCAAAATCCATAGCTGACCATAGATAAGCATTGTCTACACCTGGTTTTGGTTTTAATTCCATTTGTGATGTTATCTGATGATTAGCACATATTTTAAATACTTGTTCACGACGCATTAATATACGACAAACGTTTGTTGTTTTATGTTGTAAAATTTTTATATCACCAGTACCACGTTCTTTCATTTGATTTGTTGATGCATCAAAACGATAAAGTTTTGCACGTTCACAAAAGAGAATATTTTCATCTTCTTCACCTGTTTTAACTTCAACAACAGGTAGTGTAACAAGTCGATTAAAGGAATAATCTGGTTCATATGACTCATCTTCACCATCACCTTCGCCATCATCATCAGCAGCATGTGTTTCTGCTTTTATTGTTGAAAGATTTGATAAGCCAGGAGTAAAATTTCCACTACCAAATAATGATGTGATGTTATTAGTACCAAATACAAATGGACCTAATAAAGAAATACAATCATTATAATATTGAATTCAATATATATATATATATATGCATGCAAAACAGTAGAATATTTTTTAATATCTTTCTTCTATTAACTTTCTTTTTGGATCACTGTAGCTAGATTTTAACAATTATCATAGCTTTATTGATCAAGAAATATAAGTCTGGAATTTTCTAACAGATAGATTTTTAGTGATCATCATAATCCTAGCTCTAAATATTGAGTCAATACTTTTTCTATCATACGATAAGATCTTCGAATCATGCTTAATGAATTTATTATATTTCAGAAAAGTTCACCACATATTACAAGTTAGTATCAGCTGAAACGAAAACTTTTTGCTTTTAGAAAGATGAAATGAAGATCTATCGAGTTGTGTATTACAAGCTTTTCACTCCAGCTTCTTGGAAATCAATATACTCTATGAGATGGTTATGATAAAATTTCCGTTATCAGGCGCGCATTTACACTGCTAATGAAAGATCGACAAAACTATATAAGCCTCAGATTTAGTTATGCAGCAGTGATCGGTATTAAAGTCAAAATTTTCGGTCGATCTTTGAAGTAATTGCTACGAAAAAAACATCACATTTTTGTTATTTTTATGTGAAATGTAACAAACTTTCCGACACTTTTTCTTACAAATTTGAAAAAACCCTTGAAAACATGGAAGGAGAGCCTATAATACATATTTCGATGCGGTTTCATGTCCTCTTCCCATTGGTAAAAAGTACAGCACTCCATCCCATTTCTATCAAAAGTTATTCAAAAAGAACAATACCCAGCTGTCTTTTTTTTAATGGGCATAACTACATGCAACTGTGAGAATACTTAACTATTCAAAAACCTTAACAATAGGAAATCTAACATAATAATTGTACTATCCTCCTACGAATTGAAATGCTGTTCAGCTGTATTGAATACTTATTTCAAATAAGAATAAAGCTAATCGATCAATTTTTAATTGTGAGTTGATAGGTGAAACTTGATAGACTTAAATTAGATCTGTTACTATTACAAAGTTCAACGGTTATATGACTTTTACACTGCATGTAGAAGTGAAGCAACAGACTATGTCTCGAAAGAATTGATTGGTTACTTGATACGTTAAATGCACTAATCAAATCAAAAATTTCAACCGGCGAATGTGATTGAAAAAATATCCAAACAGTTCTAAATATAAACTTTATAAAAAAAAAAAAATAACTTACTGCTATTTGATGGCTTATCATTTGTGACATTTGTTGGAGCTGTTGTTGTTGTTGGAAATAAGGATGATGACTTAGCAGTGGTATCAGTCATGCCGAATTTAGATAAATTTGAAAAGATTGATTGAGTCGGTGTCGTCGTTGTTGTTGTTGTTGGTAATGTATTAGTTATTGTTGGTTGTGATGTTGGTATTGCTGCCGATGCAGGAAATTGAAGTGATGGTACATTTTGTGGCAATGATACAGGTGGATTAGCAACAGTCATAGGAAAAAATGGAAGCGTTGAACTTGTTGTAGCCGTCGTTGTTGCTGGCATACGCATTGGAGCAGGTGGTTGTTGAACAGAAAATGGCATCGGAGGAGGAGGATGAGAAGATGATGGCGGATGAGAAACTGATATTGGTTGTTGAGGCATATAATTTGGATAATAAGATGTTCCATAAGGATTTGGTACAAAATGAGATTGTTGATTTAATTGTTGTTGTTGTTGAAGAGCTAATACTCGATTTGATAATATTTCGATAATGCTCTAAATATGAAAGACGATCGTAATAATTATATAAAAAATCAAACACAAAAAAAAAACTAACTTTAATTTCGAATAATTGTGATGAAATATGTTGCGAATATTGAGATAAATTTTGTATTACATTTGTTTGAACATTTAAGCAGTTGACAAGCTGCTCATTAAGACGTTCATTGAATGTTGTTGGTGCTGGTTGTGACGGTTTCGAAGATGGAACAGACATCTTGAATGTAAAGCAAACTCTAAAATCAAGAAAATAACAAAGAAGTGTTTCCTTCCAGAATTTATGTGTATTAACCTTCTCTTTCTTCTCTTGCACAATAACTAAACTAAGAATGGATGAGTCAAACAATGGATAAGAGGAAAAGAAGGCCATATTTTTAGGTGTCATTTTATTTGGAGAGCCTTCATATATGTTTTTATACAAAGATTTTATTATGCAATCGATAGATGTCATGACTATGCGGATGAAAAAAAAATATTTAAATGACATTATTTGAATTGTTGATAATTCACAAAAAATATGTAATAAACTAAAAATATTAAGGTGATATTATTAATAGATAGTATACTGGAATAGATGAGATCTATTCAGGTTTCTGAACGAGGAAACTACTGAAATTTATATTAATTCGACAACGGCATTGTAGTAAAAATCAAGAACTTTTACATATATAGGAAATTTCCTAAACTTTCTTTTGTTATAGAAAATCTAAATATAGTTAAAATAAATCGGCATATCATTATGATACAAATGGGAAATATTTAGTGAAGTTTATGAAGATGGTTTAGATAATTTTTTTTTTTTGGAAAGATAATGCGCAAAGGTATGGTGAATATACGTGTAATTAATTATCTCATTGTTTAACAATCAATGTATATTGATGAACACTTCCACTTAGAACAATTATTTTATTGTAAGCGATAATTAGAGATTAGAGGCATGTACAAGACTACTGGTTTGGTTTTTAATTGTAATCCCACAATTAAAGGAATTATGTTAAGAAATACTCGCAAAAACTTCCAATTCTTTTTTTTTCAATTGTTCCCTAAGTTCTTTTTTGATGGATGAAACTTCTATGATAATTCGCTTGAGAACAATTTACAGATTTTAAGTGACATCTCATAATTACATATCAATCGATCAACTTCACCAATAGTATAATTAATGATACTCAGCTCTGATTAGTTGGCAAGAAAAGACTTCTATATAATATTTAAGAATACGTGATCAATTATATTACATTTTTTGAAAAAAGTTACTCTTTTTTTATCAACTTTTGTCTCGCTAGTTAGATCAGAGGAATATGATCAGAAAAAATCATTGACCGAGAACAAATAGCTGAGTTTCATCTAAAAGAATCAAGACTTCGTGTGTTTTCTAAGAATTCTAAAAAAAACACTTCATTGGTGTAATGTCAAGCTTTTTCAACTCGTAAGTAGAGAGAACACCAGACTAATAGAACATCAAAAGAGTTTTTCTTTTTATTCATATTTGATTCAGATAGAAATGTTTCAAAACAAATGTATATTATTTGTTTTTATGATTCTCTAAATACTTCACATCTAGCTGTCATGAGAAAAATCGATTAAAAAAAATGTTCTAGAAAACTGGACGGATGTTCATAGATTTATCCCCATTATGCTTCAAACAAAAGTTGAATCATTTTTAAATTTATCTATATCAATATTAGTGCGTTGTTATAGTTGTTTGTAGATGCTATTAACTTTGATCTTCTTATGAGTGGAACCAATCGTTTTGGATCCTGGCTCTGAAACCAGGACTATCTTAGTCATATCTTTTTTAATCATTAAATCAATTGAAGCTAATTATAATGATATGAAAAATTATTAAATAAATTTTCTAAGAAAATATTTCAAACATATCATCCTGTCAATAATCTACTAATCGTAGTGGAATAAATTCATTGTAGAACTACCTTCATATAGGGTACAGTTAGGCGACTGCCTATTTTTGTTTTTGATTTAATTCTTTCGATCATATCAGATGCAAAAGAATATCAGTATTATTTCATTTTGATAGCCTATCAGTTTATGAATATTTCTTCCATTAAAACATATAGTTTGCATTGAATTTTTCAGAAAATAAATTTTTTTTCTTTCTCTCATTTAATCTTTATTTATTGTTCACTCATCGTCATTTTCATTATCAGTGAACTAAAACTAACGTTTCATAACGAAATGAAACTTCACCATTATAATACAGAACAACATAATCAATATTTCCATTATAATAGTTCTTTTCAATTTCGTGGAATCGCTCGTTTACATAATATGATCAGTAAAGTTCTCATGAACTGCTTAGTTTCTGACAAAAGAAAGCTTTTTCAAAAGATAGTTTTTTTTTTATTTTCAACAGCCTACGTTTTTTTTGTTTGTTCTTAGGAGCACAAATAAACATAATAATAGCGTAAAGAATCTAACAAATGCACATAACATAAAATACAATGAATACAAGAAACACAAACAATGTATTGCAGGAAATACAAGACAAAAGAAAAATAACAGGAAAATTGTTTATCTTGAAACATCAAATGATGTATCCATCTGACCATAAATCATTATTATTATGAAAATAAATTATGATGAACACATAAGACAAGCACCATTTTCATCTGTCATGTTGCATTGTTTTACTCGTCGTACAAGATTTTGTTCTTCAGTCGTAGCTGTTTCTTCTTGTGTACCAGTTCCTTTTTCAATTGCCCCATCAGTTTTTATTGTTGATACTATACGACTTTTATCAACAGTAAATTTAATTGGATCAGCTGCTGGACGTGTACGTAAATAATACATGCCTGTTTTAAGACCCTTTAAAAGAAATCAAATTCAATCATTTTTAAATCTAACCAAAAGAAAAATAAACAAACTTTTTTCCATGCATAGAAATGCATCGATGAAAGTTTATTCATAGTTGGTTCAGCAATATGAATATTTAATGATTGTGATTGATCAATAAAAGCACCACGATCAGCAGCCATATTAATAATAACTTTTTGTGAAATTTCCCAGACTGTTTTATATAATGCTTTAATATGATCTGGAATATTTTCAATATTCTATATAAACGAAAAATTAATCAAACAATCAATTTATAAAAGTAAAACATACTTGAATTGAACCATTTTCATACATTAAACGATTCTTCATATCTGGATTCCATAAACCTAATTCAGTTAAATCTTTTAATAAATGATCATTGACAACCTTTAACAAATAAATAAAATAATGTTAATGATTTAAAACTTTTTTTTTATTTATTTATAAATTCTATTTACTTGAAATTCACCAGATAGTACACGTCGTACGTATAAATTACTAGTATATGGTTCAATAGATTCATTGTTACCAAGAATTTGAGCTGTTGATGCAGTTGGCATTGGTGCTAATAATAAACTATTTCGAATACCATATTGTGCTATTTGATTACGAAGTTCAGCCCAATTCCAACGGTTCGAAGGTTCAACATTCCACATATCAAATTGAAGAATCTTGATTAAAAAAGAAATGCTATTCATTTCTACTCCAACAACCAAAGTCTTAGCGCATTCTATGTGGACTCAAACATGTGCAAAAATGATGTAGCTGCCGTTGCTAATCATGATGAGATTATTTTTAGTCTCTGACTATTTCTTTTAGATTGTGTCTGAAAAAAGAAAATAATACTTACACCTTTACTAACAGGTGAACCTTCATATGTTTCATATGGACCATTGATTTTAGCAATTTCACAACTTGATTTTAATGCAGCATAATAAATTGTTTCAAATATATCACGATTAAGTTGTTGAGCTTGTTCACTTTCAAATGGAAAACGCATTAAACAAAATGTATCAGCAAGACCTTGAACACCAATACCAATTGGACGATGACGAAGATTTGATGTTTTAGCCTAAAACATTTTTAATGAATAAAATAATTATTTTGCAATAAAAGAAATAAAAAAAAAAAGAAGAATAGTATTAATAATAACATACTTCTTTTAATGGATAGAAATTTGCATCAATTATTTTATTTAAATTACGTACAACAACAGTTGTTACATGAATAAGTTTATCAAAATCAAATGTACGATCTGAACGTACAAATCGATTTAATGCAATTGATGCCAAATTACATACAGCAACTTCATTTGGTGATGTATATTCAACAATTTCTGTACATAAATTTGAACAATGAATTGTACCAAGATGTTGTTGATTACTTTTTGCATTACAATGATCTTTATATAACATAAATGGTGTACCAGTTTCAATTTGTGCATTAACAATAGCAAACCATAATTCTTGAGCTTTTATTGTACGACGTCCAAGACCTTCTTCTTCATATTTTGTATATAAATCATCAAATTCTTTTCCCCAAACATTTTGTAAATGTTTACATTGATGTGGACACATTAATGTCCATTTATCATTAGCTTCAACACGACGCATAAATAAATCTGGTATCCATAATGCTGGAAATAGATCACGAGCACGTTTTTCTTCAGCACCTGTATTTTTTCTTGCATCCAAAAATTCAAATATATCAGCATGCCATGGTTCCAAATAAAGTGCATAAGCACCTATTTTATTAAAATAATTAAAAAGAAAATTAAGAATGTTTAATTAGAAAAAAAAATTCAATTCATACCAGGTCGTTTACCACCTAAACAAAAAAAGATGAATTTTATTAAAATTTAAAACTTTTATTTTAATGTTTTTTTTTTTTTACCTTGATTAACATATCGAGCTACATTATTAAATACACGCATCATTGGTAAAACACCATCCGAACGACCATTTGTCTATAAATGGAGAAAAGAAGTGATTTTCTAAAAACACGAATCAATTTTATAATAAGATCGTACTCCTTCAATATATGATCCATTAGCTCGAATACAACTAACAGCAAGTCCAATACCACCAGCATTTTTTGAAATAATTGCACATCGACGTAATGTTTCAAAAATACCTTCAATACTATCATCACACATTGTTAATAAATAACATGATGCCATTTGTGCTTTTGTTGTACCTAAATTTGAATACAATTTAAACAAATAGAAAGACAAAATAAAATTGATTTACCAGCATTAAAAAGTGTTGGTGTTGCATGTGTAAACCATTTTTCTGATAATAAATCGTATGTTTCAATAGCATCATCAATATTTTCACCATGAATACCAACAGCTACACGCATAAGCATATGCTGTGGTCGTTCAACAATAACATTATTTATACGACGTAAATATGATCGTTCAAGTGTCTAAAAACAATGAAAATAGTACATATTCATTAAACTAAGTAGTAAATTCGTGCAACTATGGCTATAACTTACGAATGAAGAATTATTAACGTTACATAAAGATTTTCAGTGAGAGAAAGGTGTTCGCGAAAAACAAGAAAATTCAGTCTGAAAATCTTGTCTATAAGTAGATTTAATCATCACGGATGGACGATTTTCTAGAACATGATGCCAACAATGACATGTTTTTCTTATTGAGAATTTAGTTCTCTATGAATTGTTTACATCAGTCAAAGACAGTTTCTATAGCCTCATCTGAATCTGTAATCGACATACATATAGTACAAGAAAAAGGTCTTGGAATCGGTCAAAAATTTTGTACTTCTTTAAGTTTTTTGACTGATTTTGAGACGTATTCTGCAATACACAAAACCTAAGACTTCATTCAAAAAGTAGGTTCCCAACTGGTAAGAAGAGTCACTAGGAACTCGGTTATTTTCAATGCTAGAAATATCCTTATCTATGATTAGAAATACAACAAATTACTTTATCCCTGCTTATAAGAATATATATATCTTATATTGAGATATCACTGCGACTGAAGCTTTCGCTAGAGCAAGAAAACTAATCAGCGCTGTCATATACAATTCATAGAAAATCATATTCTAGCGTGTGGAGCATCTCTACCTAAAATTTTCAACGAAAACGAACATGTCTTTTTCCAGATGCTCAATTTCTAAGTGAACTGGAATATTGTGTCCTTCAATAATGAGCAGTTGTTATTATTTCGAAAACGGAAAATTTTTTTTTTCTGATAAAGCTTTCAATACTACCTCATCGCTGATTAATATATGTGTATGGGAAATTTCAGATTAAAAATTTTCGTTTTTGAATCTTTTTGAAAAATCGTAGCCTACAGTAAAATGTTTAATGCAATGATCATAAGCACAAATCCTTTAGGCTTTTTTTCAGTTTCACAAAGAACTATAGGTAAATGTATTTGCTCATAAGATGCTTACTTTAAAACCAAAATAATTGAAATCAAAATCACGTTCATGTTTGACAGCTGCATCGAGTCTCTATGCAAAGAAATGCAATTAATAATAAATAGAAAGTTCGTTTGTTTTTTCATTCATACTTCTGCATTCGCCATGACAATATCATATGTTTCTTTTGAAATAATTGGTGCATGTGTATTCAAATCAGGATTTTTATGATTATACATATCAGCAATAACTTCTGCAAGAAAAATTGTTATATAATATTAAATTTATTCCAAAAGAAAAAAAATACGAAATACACACCACTAAATAAAGTTTTTGTTTCTTTGTGTAAATTACTGACAGCAATACGTCCAGCTAATATACCATAATGAGGATGTTTGACTGTCATTGAAGCAGCTTTTTGTGCTGCTAAATTATCAAGTTCAACTGTTGTAACACCTTCAAAACAAAAGCAATCAATTATTTTAAAAAAAAAAGATTGTCTTTCAAGTTATTTACCGGGATGAAGAAAATTGATAACTTGTATAGCAACAGCTGCCTAATGTATTAAGATATTTAGCATATGAAAAATAAAAAATCCTTTTACATACTGGATCAATATAGTCAAGATCAAGACCTTCACTAAGTTTTGATATACGTGATGTAATCTTATCAAACATAGCATATTCTTTTCGACCATCTTAAATAATCATATGAATTTTACAGTAAAAAAATTAACCGAAATATTATAGTGAACAAAATTTAAAATACCTCGTTTTATAACAAATAATGAATTAGCATGTATATCTTCACTTGATTTGAGTTTTTGCATTTTAACACCACCGATATTTGTTGTATTACTTGTTGGAAGCATGAATGTTTAGATAGTGAAAAATAGACTGACCGAGAAAATTTCAGACTGTGAAATACACTGTTCGTCGATTCATTCAATACAATATATATATGTATGCTATTCTTTGTTCATAGGATTTTTGTTTTTCGTTGTGTAGCTTCGAAGCTTATAGCGACCTCTAGGTGTTTTAATTATGATGTAATTAGAATAAATTAAAAATAAATCTTGGTGTATTTACTTTTTAACGTAAGATTAGTATCTTCATCATGATGATATCATATTCCTGGATTTATTATTGGTTGAAAAGAAGCAAATAATCAAACGATATTAACCTGGATATTAAAACAATAATAACATTATTGCAATGTTTCTGATATAATATTTGATTAACCAAATATTACTTAGGTATATCGAATCATATTTTAAACGAAGAATGTTTTCAATAGAATAGTTAGTTAAATTCTAATTCTATCTATTAATAAATTCATTCCTATTATTAGATGTTACTTTCAGCTAATTAAAGCTAGTACGGTTTTGCATATTGAAGCTAAATTTGAGAATAGAAATACAAATTACAATATTGTAGTTTTTTTTAAACGTACTCTCATTCTCATCAATTCTATACAATAAAGGAAAACTCATAAATATTACATTAATAAAGTAGAACTCTACGTAAGACGCCGATTCCAATTGAGTGGAAATCACTAAGAGAAACTTTTTTGGACTCCAAAAAAATATACTACTTTATAGATTCATAGGTTTCAAGAAAAATAAAACATCATAGAGACATTTTCATCACCAACTAATATTAAAAGAAGTCATTTTGATGGTGAAAAAGTGTAGCGATAACCTATAGTAGTTTTCCTGTCTTAGAAGAGTATTTGATAACAGTGAAATTTTCAAGAGCACGAAATTCTGAACAACATGATAGATTGTCACATTTTCTATTATCTTCCTTTAGAATATTTAAAAGTATCACAATAAAATTGACTAAAACATGCCTTTTTTGCTGTTTTTCTGATAGTTTTAACTTTTGAAAGGGAAATCATAAAAAAAGTGGATAACCCTTAAGAGTTTTGCCCATTTTAAAAATGGGATTGTTAAAAAGTAATTTGTCTCCTGAATCTGAAAGTGATCGTGTCCATTTTTAGAAGCTTTGCTCATTATGCGAATTTGCACTAAAGGCTAAATATTATAGAAACAAAATACGTTGTTGTTAAACTTTCTTTCCAACATCTAATAATTACATGCATCAATATAAATTGAGAATTACTTCACATTCATAAAATTGAATTAATTAATTTTTTTTTTTCATAAGAAAAATTTCAATAGAAAGTCATCAATTTTTTTAGATATGTTATCAAGTGAAGACACTTCGTCAACTTGTAATAGTAATCAAATGTCGGATTCATCTTTACATCAAATGTCTGATCATGAAGGTGGAATTCATTTTAATCCACCTCTCTATCGACAACGTTATACATTCACACTTGATTTAATTCAACGTGATCCTAGTCTTCATTCATTACTTGATATTGGTTGTGGTACATGTCAATTATTAACCATCGGTAAATATCGTAATCCTCATATACAATTAATTGCTGCTATTGATATTATTCGATATCAACTTGATGAAGGATACTTTAGATTAAAACCATTACCAATTGAATATATGATATTTCGTCGAGAAACTCCATTACATATGTATGTCTTAGAGAGTAAGGTTTTTGTTATTTTTTAACTTAAAAAAAAACATGACAGTACATCTCAATAGTCTCGTACCACTTTTTTGTTTTGATTCATGTGTTTATGCTATACAGCATTAATTTAATTCGGCTATATCCTTATATAGTAGATGACGAGCACTACATATATACACGTTTAATTAGGATTTAATATAGAATATGCAATATAATAAAAAAAAAACAAGTTTTAGTAGTAAAAAAGAATAAAATTATATTATTGTTATGAACGATCCTGCCAGATTAGGTCACCTATTCAGAATCGAAAAACCCAATATATCATGTTGTAGACAGACAATTGTGTATTTAAAGCATGATCAGTTACTGATCATTATGTTTCTTGGTATCAGCCGAAAGTGTTTATAAAAAAAACTTGCCTTAGTCACAATTTTGTTGAGCTCTTCTCGAGCTACAAGTTCATATAACAAACAGCTTTGATAATTCTTTTTTTCATAGGAAAATAGTGTCAATTATAGAAGATGGAATCAGACGCTAAAATTTCTCACAAATAGCCCACGATGTAGGACTGCATAAGAAACTATTTCGAAGTTGCAGTATAAGTGTAGTTGAAAGAAAGGCTTATCCTGCGTTTCTGCAGTCCCTCATTGCTGAATGGATGACCCAATCCAATAAGGTCCTTGATAACAATACTATCATTTTCGTCTTCTTTTCTGTCATTTTTTGGTGTAAGTGTTGTTCTGGGTCTTCACTTCATGTTACAAATTGAAAATCTCAAAATAAAATTTTTCTGCTATTTAATACTTCGCCATTGTTTTCTTAGCACTGTATTTTGTTTTCTTTTTATTGTGCTTCATATTGAAGCCTTTATTATATGAAATAGATGTATATATATATATAACACGCGATCTCTAGTATACAGGCATATAGTCGAATTAAATGAATGTTATATGGTGTAAATATGTGAGTCAAAACACAAAAGTGATGTGAGACATTTGAGGTACACTGTATATTTATTAGTTTTATTTTCTAGGTGATGCTACAAAAATATGTAATTGTTTTCAACATTTTGATGTTGTTACACTTATTGAAGTTATTGAACATTTATATTTAAATGATTTAGAAAATTTAGTTAAACATGTATTTGGTTATATACGTCCTCGACTTGTTATTATAACAACACCAAATGCTGATTTCAATGTACTTTTTACAACAATGATTTGTGGAAAATATCGTCATGCTGATCATAAATTTGAATTTACTCGTCATGAATTTAATACATGGGCACAAAAAATTGCTCATAAATATGGTTATATTGTAGAATTTAATGGTGTTGGTGAAGTTCCATCTAATGAACGACATCGAAATATTGGTACATGTACACAAATTGGTATTTTTTATCGTCAAAACAATCCTATAAAAACAATCTTAACATCAAATGAATTTTATCAACGTTTATCTAATTGTAAAAAACATGAACTTATTGGTTTTATTGATTATCCACATGGTATTAAAAAAACTATTGATATTCAAGAACAAATTCGTTATATTCTTAATATGTATCGTTTAATGGCTGAAGATAAAGTTCGACATGGTGATGATAATCATGATACATTACCATTGACAATTAATTGTCAAACATTAATAAATCATCCACGTTTAATAGAATTTAATATAACAGAACATGATCTAAAACAAATTATTGAACATATTGGTTATAAAATGCTTGATAATAATCAAATAATACTTTCTGAAGATCCATTAACATGTACACATGGTGATCATTGTTCAAATGATTATGACGAAAGTTTACTGAATAATCAAAATGAAATAGTAAACACCGATCAGAAATATAATCAAAATGAAGAATGTTGGGATTGATTAAGTCAAATTATCAATTGAAGATTTTTTTGTCAGATGTTAATGCTTATTTATTTAAATTTTCTTCGTTGTTGTTGTGATAAAAAAAAAAAAAATTAGAGTCTCTCACAATTCCAAAAAAAAACAGATTTTATTTTAATTTAATTTTCCCTTTTTTTTGAAGTTGTATTATTTTGAATTCTTCGGAAATAAAGTTAAACTAAATCTATGTCGTTTAAATATCATATCGAAAAATTTATATTTTAAAGATTTCTCTATAATGAATAGTGTCATCTTTCTTCATGTGATTTACTTAATTCGTTCGCTTGACGTATTCATCGCTCTATTTCTATACAACTGTAATGCTTAAAACCTCTTATCTATTCATTGCTTCTATGCAAGTGTATGTTCGGTGTGTATTTATTAGAAGTTGTTGTCTTAACATTTAAAATAAAGTGAACTACGTCAGTTTTTGAATACTTTCTCACTTAATTTCGCTACGTTTATTGTCAAGAGAACGCTAAGAATGCATTTCGTTTTTGTCGAGAATTTTTCTTCAAGCTTTCTTCATTATATTAGAAGAATAGTCTGAAAATGGAAAAGTCTTGACACGTGAAGAAGATACGACCGGAGTTGGTCAGAGCCAGCATTCGTATAGGATCATAAGATCTCTAATTCCAAGTTCCTACAATTTTGTCGAGGCTTCCGGTTGGAAACGGCGTATTTCCTGTGGATTTTTGCTGGAGTTCTACGGATTCTGGTTTAAGAGTCATTGACTTAGGTTTTTTGATTTGATGGAAACAGATATATAAAATGCTTTATTCATCCTTTATCGAAACAAGCTTAGCGATCCCGACAAGGAGAAAAAAAATGAGACTTCAAGAGTGTGTCGTTTAATCGTACTTCAAAAACCTGAAATCTCGCTTTTTTCTCCTTGGATTCCGATCAATACTCGAAACTGTCGACTTGGTCTCAGTTCAGATGAGTAAAAACTAGTTCACCTTTACTTTTTAGAAAGTCTCTATGCAATTAGTGATTGTAATTATAGTATATCAAATAATTAACATTAGTTTTTTTGTGTAGAAATATTTATGTTTCATGGTTTGAGATTGTTCATGTATTGTATTTGCTAGAAAAAGTCATTTCTTCGACAGACAAAACACAAAAAGCAAATGAATAAGGGAACTATATATATCACTCAACTGTGAAACCTTTTCGTTGATAAAGATTCATTCATTTAAAAAAGGAAAGTTTTCAACATATCAGTGATACAAAATTAAATTACGAGAATAAAACGCTTTTGTTCATCCATTTCTCAAGTATAATTAAATAAATAAATAAATAATTTGTTTAGTTCTTTGTATCACAATTAGAATTCAATTTAGTGAATGGGTAAAAATTCTGTGTCGAAATCACATAAAGATGACAAAATATAGATTTTCATAGGCCTTAATTAAGCACTATCTATTTTCTTTCTCTCAAAAATAGGGTTTCCTCGTTGTGATGGTGAATTCTCGTTTCGTCGAAACGCTAATTGATTTTCTTGTTTCGTCGAAAAATTTGTTAGAGCTTTTTTCATAGTGTTCTCGTTTCGTCGAAAATAAAATTACGATTGTTCTCGTTTCGTCGAAAAATTAAATTGTAATGAAAAAAGCAGGATCAAAGCAACTAGCTTAATTGCTTTGATTGTCTTCAGCAATATTTTTTCTAAAGAAACTGATTAAGAGTGTGGGTGAGCGTTAGAATGAGGGTATTCTGTTCGCTCAAACCTATATTCACTCCCACACCCACACACCTTCTAAACATCAAATATTAACATTAGAAGAATATCTTGAAAAAGTTATGCGATTAATTGGTATTAAAAAATTCTGAATGATTTTTCTTATGTCTTCTTGTTCAATATAATGCGTGTATTTATTACAATCTTCTCAAATAAGCTCTTTCAACAGATTCATTGAGTATCATTCTATTTAAAAGTCTATTCAAGAGAATCATAGAATTTATGATAAGCTAATTATGTTTATTATATTTTCATTTCATTTATGCTTTTCGACGAAACGAGAACAGTCGTTTTTTCATTTTCGACGAAACAAGAATGGATGAAAAATTTATTTTCGACGAAACGAGAAAATCAATTAGCGTTTCGACGAAACGAGAAAATCAATTAGCGTTTCGACGAAACGAGAACTAACCGTTGTGATATGCCATTGAATTAAAATGCCCAATATATCTACTATTGCGATAGAATATGCCTCTTGAGACACCAAGATCATATGGTAATGCCTTTTATCATCCACAAACTTCAGATTACGCCACTATCACCGTATCGACTCTCAGTTTCATCTCTTTTAAAATTGTCGGGGTCTATCGCAAACATCATTTGAGACTTATCCTTTGCTAGATGTCACTAATTGCTTAAATATGAAATTTTTACGATTTCAGATTACTGATAAGTTCTTGGAAACGAGAGAAACTAAATTAGAGATCTAATTAAACTATAAAACAATTTTTGAAGCTTAATCTATAAATAAGAAGAGGCTTATGTGAACAATAAATGGAAGTACCATTTGCGCATATGTACTAGAGAAAAAATACACTCCTATAGTAATTTCTATACTCATAATAAACAACAATCAATAAAACAATTATTAATATTTACATCGAATGGCAATATTTGGTCTACAGATAGTCATATCTTTAGTTGTTTTTTGTTTTTTAACTAAATTAACAAAATATTATTCATTTGGTCGATGGCTACTTTGTAATGGTTTATTTCGTTATTGGCCACCAACAAATGAAGAATTGAAACAAGCTATAAAACAACGTTATGCAAAAGAATCAAATAGTAAATCTAAAAAACAATCAAATATATCAAAATCTTATCATAAAAGTTCAACAACAAATAATAATGATTCATCAAATACAATAGAAGAATTTCCTATTCCAATTGATACATCAATTGAATTAAAATTAATACCTTTAACACATCATGATGTTATACAAGTTAAATATATTGATGAATTTTTTTCTTTAGTTGATTTTATAACAGGTTCAATAATAATATTTCTATTAACTGAATTATATCTTTATGTAATACCAATAATACGTCAAAATAATGAACATTTCAATGAAATAAATTTAAGTTTATTTTGGTGTTTTATATCATTATTACTTGCATTAATAGTATTAACAAAATTTGTACGTGAATATTTAAAAGTTGATGAAGGTATATTATGTATTTTATTTGGTGCTTTATCATTTTTACTTGCATTATGTTTACAATATATAGATGAAAAATTTTTTGATTTTAATTTAAAACACACATATGGAAATCATACAATAATATATAATGATGATAATGATGAAGAAATCAATTATATTGATCGTCGTTTTATTTATATTGTAATGTTATTATCATTAATAAATGCTTATCAAACTATAATATTATTTTTTCCAGCATTTCGTTTTGGTCAATTACAATATTTATTTTTAATAAAAAATAAAAAAACAAATAAAAAAACTTTTAAAAATATATTTATATTTATTTTAATAATAATTAATTTTATATTACCAATATTTACATGTTTATTATGGTTTAAACCAATAATACAACATATTAATATGAATTATATAATACAATTAAAAATTTTATCAATTATTATATGTATTTTATTACGTATTTGTTTATTTAAATTTTATATACAAATATATCTTGATACAGCATTTGATCGTGTTAAAATTTTATATGATCAACAACAATTAACAACAACACGTATAACTAATTTATCATATCAACGTAATGTAACATCAATATTTTTTTATCTTGGTGTTGTTACATCACAATATATATTACCAGGATTTATTGAATTAATTATTTGTTTTTATTATAAAAATTTTTCATATAAAAATTCAAATTTATCTATTAATACATTAACACCACCAAAATGGTTACAACATTTTGATAATTATATGACTAATACAACAAATACAAATTCATCATTAATATTAACATGGAATGATTTACATACATTTTTTAATAATCAACATATTACTGTATTTCTATCATATTTATTATTTTGGCATCATACAATATTTTGTTTGATTAGTTGTGGTTCATTAATATATAATACTTATATACAACGTGAACAACATGTTAATGTTAAAAACGATTAAATTAAATCTTGTTGTGCTATGAACTGTGTTGTTTATTTCTCAGGAATAATCTTAACTTGGTTTTCTCTCTCTCTCTCTCTCTCTCTTTCCTTTTTTTGTTTTCTAAAACGATTATTCGTATTTTAAATATCAGTTTCGTATTTCCCATTAGGATAATTTTCAGTTTGTTTTAGATTTTGAAAATCTTCGTTTATTTTTTATTACATAAGCAATAATGGTTATAACTACAATTAGTATGGAAAGTGATGTACGACGTCAATATAATAGACGAGTACTTTTTTGCATTCGTGTAAGGTAAGGTTAATGATGATATGAGTATTAAATATTTTTATAGAGATTTATGATGTCTACTTAAATGATATACGTGATATTTAAAAAGAGGAGTAGGTTTTTATTTAAAAGAAGATATGTAAGATCAATCAAGCTGTAGAGCTGAATGATATATGAATACCCTGAAATGAGTTTGTGTCCTTAACTTATCACTGCAAATATGCTACACGTTAATGGTATTTTTTAAATGCATGCCTTGGCCTCATTTCAAAAATATCAACAAAACATATTGTCGACTTGAAATTTTGCATTGAGATTTCAAATTAAAAATCAGCCTTCCTGACGACGGACTACAGCATTGATTTAAAAAACACTATCAAGACGTAATATCTCCGTAGCAATAAGCTGAGGACGCGAACTTTTTTCAGCGTATTCACAATTCATTTAGTTCCATAAACATGCACATAGTCTCGAGTTACAAGAAACTTATCTTTTAGTAGACTTCTCTTGGGAGTGATTATTTTTCGGAGCATTCAATATTTCGAGAGAGAATCTGAATAGAATAACGATACGTTCGAAAGAAAAGATGATTTTCTCGTTGAATGTTCTTAATGCCATCAAAGCAGTTTCGATCAGCAGCAATATTTTTCCTATAGATGACAAACTTCTGAAGCGGTTACTAGTCTCCTTAATACTAATTAAACCATAGTTCTGAATAGAAATTTGACCGGACGCAGAGTTCTTCTCGGTCATTAACTTCTCTACACATACTCACTATTAAAATACCGGCAGTCTCCAAAAAAACATATATCAGGAAGTGATTTATTTAAGGTTTGTTCATAATTCAATGGCGTCGAGGTTCGAACATAGGAATTTTTATGACATCATGGATGATATACTGATCATATATGTTGACAAGAAAGCAAACATTATTTGCTTTGTTGAGTTCATTGTTTCAATATGAAATAATTCTAAAATTTTGATTTACAATAAATTTTTCAAAAAAAAGTATCTTCTTTCATTTTTTTTTAACGATATGCTTTTAATTATGTAGAGGAGCTGCATTACTTATTGGTGTATGGGATTTATTCATTCATTCGGCAGTACTATGTGCGTTGATCTTGATGTTTCGTCAATCACCAAAAATGATGAACGATGTGATACAGACACATGGTCAATATTCTAATTCACATGAAACACCATTAGTGGAACCATATTTTAAAGAATCATCAAATGTGTTGATGCATAATAAAAATTTTCTTTCAAGTAATATTCTATTAAATCGAATTCTTGAAAAACGTAATGTTAGTCATACGTCTACGGGATTAAACACTAGAAATTTTTATTCAAGTTTGGATTTCATGACAGTTAAATGGGCAGCATCTCTTAGTCAACGTATGTTAATATTATTTTTTTTAAATATAAATAATTTTTTCTTATTGAATAACTATTTAGAAGACAAATTGCTTGTATTTTTCATCGTTTTTTCCGCAACAATTCTTGTATTAGGACATATTGTTGGTATTTTAATTGTAAGTTTATTATCTTTCTCATTCTTGTTGCAATCATATAGAGTTTTTTTTGCGAAACATGATCTAAAACGAGTGTTGAAGGCTAGGTGTAGAATTTGGAACTTCTATTTTTAGACATGACAGACACAGACAGAGGTAGTCCCAAAGTAGCCAAAATTGAGGAGTGATGTCGAGATTTTTTTTTACAAATAGAGAAAATCTTTCTTCTTACAGAATGCAAAAAGAGAATTTCAGTTCTACTGAGAAGAAACAAAAATTTCTCATGATTAGGGATGTTACCTCCGATCGGGTTCCATTAGACATAACCATGGAAATATTATAGACCTTGACAAAGATTGTTAATATGCAATCATAGATCGAATGTTAATTACGTCTCGTACTAATATATGACGTAATTCCTTAATGCATTTCTAGAGGACTAAATAAAAGAATAGTTAAGAAATATGTCCCAAAATAGATCGAATAAAATAGTCTCTCTGTAATTAGTAACAGTAACTACTTGATATTTTACATTTTAATCTTATAAAAGTTGTGATAACAATTTTTTACTGTTTCTATAGAACAAACCATCATATATAGTTCCATACTTTTTAATCAAAGTATTTAATGTTATTGTTTCAATTTTATCAATGCTTGGTTTTTATGCGTATATGTCCGATATTAAAGCTTGGCTTCGAATGCAACCAGAATTTCCATTTAAAGAAAATTTAATGCAACTTGATGCTCAAACACTTCAACTTGTTGTATTTGCTTTTCTTCTTTTTATTATTTTGGCTAAAGTATGTTTGTTTAAATTATTAAATTATCATTTTAAAAATATACATATGATTTTTCAAGCTTTATATCGCTGCTGTCATATGGTACTGTTATAGTTACATAACAGCATTGACAATGGCTCGAACTATTGGAACAATTACAACTCATAACGATGATTCACAAACAATCATGGGAGACGTAAAGTTTTTTTTTTCTATAATATTTTTCAATAAATATTAATTTTGCTTCTTTTTTATTACAGATGTATTCACCACCAAAATACGAAGAGGCTATTAAATCAAATTATGATGAAGACGATAGTTATTCACCGCCTCCTTACACTCCCTTACTTCAGTCATCAACGTAAAAAAAAAAACGGAAGAAACTCAAATCCATTAAACTTTCAAGAAACGATTCTCATTCAATTTTTATATTTTTGTTCTTAGACATCTGAATTGTTTATTAATTTCCTTTTGTTTTTATTTTTGACTTATTTATTCTTTTTTTTTCTTTCTCAAAAAGATGCTTATATTTCCATACATATATATATATCTATACTAACATGATAATGCTTAAACTAATTAACCCATATCTATATAGAAAAAAAAACATGAGATTCTCTTCAGTTATTCATACATATTGATTTTATTGTCATTTTATTTGCGTTGGTGTCGTACGATAAACTATCAAGATGACTAACTATAAGAACATAGAATCAATAATTGATCAAAAAGTCATGTTGTATACACATTTATAAATACAACACTATTGTATATTATTTCGATTGGATCACAAACAAAAGATCCGTCAATGTGATTGGCTTTTAATAACTTAAGTCTTAAATACATAAATACAAGAAGAAAAAGGAAAGACTATATAAATTGATGGCAAGACAATAGATATATCATTAAAGAAAAAAAGTAAAAAAGACAATGTTTTTGACGATATTTTTATTTTATCTTCTTGTAACGATTACAATATCAGTAACACATGTGCCTGGTACTATTCATGTTGAATTATTACCAGATAATCAAGTAGCAAAAGGAATATATAGACCATCAGCATCGGTTCATTATTCAATTCGATTTGAAAACGTACCTATTAATGATGATGTTAACATTGGTGTAGAAATTCGTGGTAGTAATCCAGCAGGTGGACCTCGTGGTTATATTTTAATGGCACATAATGTAACTCCAATTAAAGAATTTATACAAACAACAAATAATCATCTTCAATATAAATTAATACCAAATGAAATTTTTGCTGGTTATAGTTGGTTTTTAAGACCATTTGTTTCTTTTACAAATGAATCAATGGGTTCAACAAATATGATGAATGCAGGTGCGTCAGAAATGTTTTATGTTCTTAAACAATAAATAAAAAAAGAATTCTCTTTAAAATTTATTTCTTTTTTTTCTCTGATGTTTACTAAAAAAAAAAAGAACTAATTATAAAAAAATAAATATGATTAATACAAATGAGCTAATCAAAAAATAAAATAATTTCTTCTTTTCTTTTTTTTTTTGCTTTATACAACGGCAAGAATAGACGATGCTGATGTATTATGTTCATTGTTAGCATCATGGGTTGTTATTGTTTCAATTGTAGATGGAATAGAAAGAATTGATACTGTTATGAAATTAGAGGATTCAGTTGTTGGTTTTTGTTGTTTTATAGGTTTTAAATTAGATGTCATTGATGATTGTTGAATTTTTGATGATAAGCAAGTTCGTTGATAGTGACGATTAAATGGAAAATGTTTTGGTAATTTAACATCTAAATAAAATAATTTTAAATATAAAAATTTTCATCAATTAGTTAAATTGAAATTTGTTTTGTTTTCGTTTCAAAGCCAAAAGATTAAATACACACAAAAAACAATGTGTAAGTTATTGTAAGAGTGAATTAATTAAGAACAAAGACGACAAGAAGAGAAAGTTTCAAATAAAGTCATCGTTTTTTTTTCCCGTAAACTTGCCTTTGCCTGTAAATAGGAAATCCGAGACATTTATCTTGGAAATTCCGTTTGTTTTGCTGCTGTCGCCTAGACGGAAATACAAAAATATCAAAAAGATTTTCTGTTTTTTTCATCTCGTTTTATTAAAAAAAAACATCAGACTCTCATGCATAATAAAGTATCATGCAGAAAGATAACGTGCATAATAGTGCATCAGAAGAAAAATCAAACATTCGATAGTGTATAGCGTGTACCCTGGTCGCGTCGTTATTTGTGCAACAAGTCGATAAATAGCCAGTGTACGACTACGCAATACTGGAAACATGAATAAAAAACAATATATCTAATTCGTTCGTTTACATTTTTGTATATATATATATTTTTTTTTTGTTATTTCTTTCTTTGTTTTATAAAAAAAGAGCGCGAAAGTGTATGAAAAAATGAATGTGCAAATTAAAAAACTAAAAACTATTGATGAGCAGTTGTCTGTATATTTGAAATCATCAAAGAAAAAAGCAATTCATCATCACGGTATGACAATCGATTCTTTCGACTATTGGCAAGTAATCTTTGTTTTATTAGTCGATTGATATGTTGTGAACGAATTGGTAATGCTGGTAATCGAGTTATATCGAACGATGCTATTAGATCTTTAGGAAATAGGAATTAATTTATATATATATATAAGGTTTTAAGAAAAGAAAAAACATTTTATATAAAGAAAGTACAAACAAGGAGAAAAAGAATTTTTCTTTACCTTTGGGTGATGGAAGACCATTATTAACTTTTGATCGACTTAATTGACGAACAGGAAGATAATCAACAGAGAGACGATGTGGACTGATTTTCAATTGTTTTTGTCGTAGATCAGGTTGTTGGCTTTGATTTAATTTATTATTATTGTTATTATTATGAGAAATTGAACGAAATTGAAATAGAAAGTTATCATTTGTTGCAAGTTTTTCAATAGGAGAATCGGGTGAAGGTATAACTTCTATACGAGTTAATGCTGGTTGTGTCATTTCACGACGAAGTTTAAGTGAAACAGGAGTATTAGAGTTTTTTGAAGAAAATGATTGATGTGTAGCAAGAGCACTAGCTGAATGTGTAAGAATAGGACGATTTTCTGCAGGTGTTGCCGATAATGATGATGACATAGATGATGAGCTTGTGTGTGGAGGTGCAGAAACATGTGTATTAACTGTATTATTATTATTATTATTATTATTATTATTATTATTTTGTGTTTCAACTGTAGTCGTCGGATTATTATTTGATGTTCGACCAGTTTTACAAGTTTTGCCTAGATTTATCTTTATTATATCAAACGAACGAAAACTTGTTTACTGTTTTATTATTACCTTCAACACGAAGATCAATTCCAACATATATTGGAACAGGTACAGGTGTTCCTTTATGAATTAATTCGAATCGGCCTGTGTCAGCTGTTCGATTGTATTTTCGATCAATCATTACTGCATATACAAAACATTGCAATTTGATTCATAGCTTACTGTTTTTTTTTTATTAATTTCGATATAATTACCTTTACAAGTATCTTCAAGAACACCGTCACACATTTCCGTTGTTACCGCAGTACTTCGAGCCATTGTTGGACTACAATTTATTTCTATAAGCCAAGGTTTAAGATCTTCACCGAGCATAAAATCAGCACCAAATAATTCAAATGAGTTCTATTAATAGAACAATATTAATTAACTTTTGAAAATAATTCAGGAAAAAAGAAAGCATCATGTATACTTTTCTTGGATCAATAGTATCTTGTGCAACAAGCATTGAACATATAATTGCATCTTTCATTGCTGGATAAATTAATTTATCCCAACGATCAGCTAAATGATTTGGTCGAAGATATTTATCAATAAATTCTTTATTCGTCCACATATTCTCAACTAATAAAGCACAAGAAACAAGAATAAATATATATTATGAAAAACAATAAATTAATGTATTGTTTTTCTATTTACCTGGTAAGTCAATATGTCGATTGGAATTATTTTTATAATGTTTTTGTATTGAATAATTACATAGATGTACACTTTGTTGTCGTGTTTCTAAACTAAAATGGTCTGTACAAAAACGTAAATAACAATCTTTAAACATCCATATTGTTAATGGATTCCAATCAGTTACTAAAAACCATTGACGTATATCAAATTTTGTACTATGAATAAGTAATGGTCTTTCAATATATTTTTGTACAACGAATTTTCCATCTTTTGTTAATGTTGATGAACATAATTTTAATATATCTTCCAGACGATCATAAACAACAATACCTAAATAAATATCATAATATATCATTATATTTCAAAGTAATTTGAAAAGAAAAACCTCGTCCTCTTGATTTAGCACCAGGTTTAAGAATCCAAATATTTCTTGTACCATCAATATGATATTGTGACCAATGATGTGCAACATTTTTCAAACATGCATCAATTTTATTCAAATATATTTCCATACCCTCAATGTCAGCATTTGAACTTCAAAATAAACAAAAGAAATCAATTTCTAGATAGATATTTTTTGTGTTTTTGAACTTTTACTGTGAAGCCGCATAGAACTGTTCAATAAATTGTGTCCATTGTTCATCTGATGGATCTAATTGTAAATTTGCATTGAAATCAATATCTTCATGATCACGCGACAATGTATATTGATTGACTTTATTTAAAGCAAATTCAATAAAAGATAAAGGCACTTTTTTTGTTGATGATAGTTTTCCGTTAAGATTTTTTGATGATAATTGACCTGGAGGCAAAGTTAATGATCTTGTTAATTGTGGTTGTTCTTCGATAGTTGTTAATGGACTTTTAGAGACAGTTGGATCATCTGAGCTCATAGCTAGAATTGAATTCATGTCTGGTTCAATAATACCTTTACAACGATTTTGAATAAGTTTAAGAAAACTAATACATGCAGTTAGACGATAATCATCTTAATAGAAAAAAAAAGACATTAGAAAGAATATTAAATCAAAGTTATTTACCAATAAAAGCAACTTTATCATCTTCTTGAGATAATTTATAACATCGAGGATAAAATTCATCAGCACAACCCGAATGAAACCATTGTAAATTACGAAGACTATTGCATAAACCAACCTGAAGAAAAAAAAACCCATATATATATATATATATATGATTATTCTTCTTTAAATAATTATATTAAATCAAAAAAATATATAAACCTTCGTTGTAAAACAACCATTTCTTGAATAATGATTAACCATTTGATCTTTGTTTAATGTACTTGTATCATATGTAGCTCGAACACTCCATATAAAATTTGGTGCAGCTGTTCTTACAAGACGTGATAAAAGTCCATAGTAACCATCATTTTCTTCCCACGGTGGAATTTTATCATCGTCTTCATATGATGGATGTTCGTCTATTAAAAATAAAAATAACCATCCAATCATTTTATTTTCGTTGTTTATTTACAAACCAAGGTCATCATCATCATTGTCATCATCGTTGTTATTATCACCATCATCATCATCATCATCACTTTTATTATTTTTCTTATCGGATTTTTTATTTCCATGAACGGATGGTAATGTAGAACCACGATAAAATTTTTCAACCCAACCACGACTATGCAAAAGAACAAAGATAATTATATTTGAAAGATTAAAAAAAAGAACATTCAATTAACCGTCGTAAAGATTCTCGAAGTGCTGGATATGGCCCAATTATTGTAAATATTTTATGTTCCTAAACAAAGATAAAAAATAAATCAAATCATTATCGTTATTATCACTTTTATTTTTTCTTTAGTTCATACTTTCATTGCTCGTTCGGCTTCATCTCTTGCTAGTTTAAGTCTTTCGGTATTAATTGTATCATTTGATATCGAACGTTTCGGTGATGAATCTGTTTGACGAGCAACTTTTGGTGGTGATTTCGAGCGATTCGATGGTGACATTCAAGTGAATATTTCTTACAAGTACTGAAACTGAAATTGACTTTTGTGCTGAAGCTGCACCAATTGAATGGTAGTGATGGGGATGCTGCTGCTGTTGATGTAGTTGATTGTGTGATTTTTAATCTTAACGGTATTCGATATGGACGAATCAATTATGACAGCTCCGCATTAGATTGATGGGCTTCTTTAAAGAAAAAGAAAAGAGTGTCAATTGAAAACCAACACTATTTGTTGTTTTCGATACATGTCAGTACAACACATATAGTTATAATACTGAATAGAATCGCAGGAGTATTATAGAGAAATAACAAAAATCATTTCCGGTAAAATACAAATAACTTTCCTTTTCTTTTTCTTATCTTTCGGGAATGAAGTTTATGTCTGCAATGGTCTTGTATAAGACTTGAAGACAGACAAATAAAAAGAAAAAACATTCTAGTCATTGAAGCAGTAGGCATGCATAGAAGAAGAAAAAAAAGAGAAATTATTAATATTTCATCTTACACTTTCAAGAAAAAAAAGAAAAAAAAGAAAGTGTGTTGTCATATACACACATACGTGCAACAATGATGTACGGACAAACAACAGTATGACGTAGTTATAAGTTGTGATTGTTTACTTGATGTTTTACATACTTGTTTTTTATTTGTGTTTAATAATCAAACTTACTTAAACACACACATTATATACTGAAATATTAATGGCACTTTCATAGACTTGATCATTTATGAACTGTCAAAACATTAACATAGATAACATACTTCTTCACCTTGATAAATTTTTTTTTTACTGTTTCAATCTCACTAGACAATGTTGATCTAACTATTGTTGATTTAGTATATATCTTTATGTTTGATAATGATTGTGGTATTTGTGATAGTTCTTCTATGCGATAATACTCTTGTCGATGATCAATAGCAACTTCTTTTTTTTTAATATAAATATGAAGTGATTTTTTTTGTATTCTAATATCTCTTTTATTGAATTTTTCTGTTTTAAAGACACTCACAGTCTTTTGAAATCTTTGTACATGTTTTATTTGACACTCATAAAAATAAGATCAAAGATTCTGAGTAATTTGATCACTTTTTCTTTCATTCAGTTTGGATTTATATACGAATAAATAAGGATCAAGTATTGAAGATGAATCACGACAAGTTGTTACAGTTACCATTTCTTTCTTCGGTATTTTTTTTTATTTTAAGAGTTGCGGAGAAAAAGAAGGTTATACTGACTGCATTAATGAGCGCTTAGACGTGTTTTTTTGTTTCTTTAACAGTCAATTCTATTATAGAGCAAAGCCATTGTTTTACCTCTTTCACTTTTTTTTTTTCTGTTTTCCCCTTCCCTCGATTTTTAAGATTAGCTATAGGTAATGTATGAAAGTGTGCAAAAGTGTATGTGTGACGTCCATTTATTGCATTTCTTTTCTTTTCTCTTCGCAAACGTTGTAGAAGAGCTCTTAATAAAAGAAGAGAAGAGAAATATGGAAGTTTTCATGTCAGGTGAAGTATCATGGCAACGCCTCCGTCCCAATAACATTCATTGATCGGCTTCTGTTTTTTGACATCAAGTATATAAAATAACACGAACTATGGACAAGATACTATATGTCGTCTGTGAGATAAGTACCTTTTGACAAGACTTTCAAATGAGATAATTCTCAAACAACAAATACGATTCACTTATAATATGATGTTGACTAAGACTTAAATTATTATGATAACTCATTCAAAAAGTTTGAATTACTCTACAGGATACACATATTTTGTTAATTAAATAATACTGAGGTCTATGTCTGCATGTCCTTCAAATACACTCAAAAATCATTTCAACCTATAATTGTCTTATTATTCTTTTTATCAGAAAGTATGTAACAACGATTGAAGACGATATTACTATTGATATTTCAATATAAAAGAAAAATAAAAAAGACTTCTAATTCTTGATAAACTTGTAAGATATATGAAAGCGGTCGTTTTTCTTTACGATATTGTGGTACTATAGACTTGTCCAGTTGATAGTCAACAATGTTGTGTATGCAGTTGTGACTTTGATTGACAAACTAATAACGATACTTTTTCATCAACGACGTTTTTTTTTTCAAGTTCTACTTTACAAGAAGTCGGTAATCAATATTGTTTTATGGCCAATACTTATAATGATGATAGTCAGCAACATGTATTTGAATTCATTGGATCAAATACTTCTCAAACTTCACATTTTATTCGAGATGTCGACATAATTTCTTTGTTAGGTGCAGAATGACTTTCAATGAGAATTAGTTCTATTAGTTATAATTATAGTTGGAATGATTTTAATGATATTTTACTTGCAGAACATCTACAAAAATTATTTCAAATGAAAATAAATCAAATAATATTAAATTCAGAGTAAATAAATAAACAATTACGAACTCAAAATTATTATTCATATAGCAAATATATTGATGATGATACTACAACTTTATCTAAACAAGTATTTATGTACAGATGGTGTTTGTTTCATGGATCAAATATAATAATTGTATAACAACATCAACAAATGATTGCATATCTAATTTTTTAAAGTTCACTGTCAATCATTTTCTAATCTTATTTCAACAACAAGCATTTGAATTCGAGCAACTTATCATATAGATTTTACATAAGAAAATCAATTAGAAATTCACGAACTAGATATAACATTGCAAAAGATTATTGCAATTCGATTGAAATCGAAAAATATTTAAAATCACAAAATTCAAACATCAACTAATTTACATTCAGATTTTCGATCATCTCAATTACATGATACTGCTACAATGACAAGAATATCAGTCTTAGTGTTAACAACAACTCAATAATCAACTTTTAAAAACGCCATCGACAACAATAACTCACGGGCCACAAAACAATAAGATCGTTCCCTATTGTCTTTTTAATTGTAATTTTTATCTTATTACTGCTTTAGTCATATCAACTTTATTGTTATCATTTATTGTAAAACTCGAATGCTTATGTAATGTAAAAAAAAAGATTTTTTGATAACTGTAGAATTTCAATCGAAATATTGCTTAGAAACTTAAAACTCTATTTGTACAATCTTAATCGTATTTGTAATTTATTTCTGTATGTATTTCTATATGTACATCTATGCAACGACGAAACAGCCATCATTATATGTATATATTGCATGAAAAGAAACTTGGAAAGCTCTACAGAGATGGTGAGCATAAAAAGAAAAACCCACAAAACAAAATGAGAGAAAGGGAAAAAATCATCATACATGAGACTGAGAAGAAAAAACCTACGTTGAAACTTAATCATAAAGAGAACGAAAACAAGAGAAACCTATGATGACAGAAAAATATTATGACAGCACCCAAAGAGATGCAGACGGTAAGAGTATTGAATTACAATTTTTGTTCTCGAATTTCATTTTTATAACATTCGAATTAGCAACGACGCTTACATACGTCATAACGTTGATCATCGATTGAAATTACTGCAATCATTTATAATATACCTTGATCTGATGCATTTGAGTCGATGCCAAGATCAAGTGACAGGATCTTCCAAAATCATTATTTTATTATGGCTCATGGCAAAGTTTTGCGTTGAGAAACAAATGTGCGCAGCGCACGACCCTCTACTTTACGTATGTTTATCGGTAACCAGAGCGTTAATAAACATCCTTTCGTAAATAAATTATGTTAAATATTTCATCCGAACGGTAAGTTGTTTTTTCGTATTTACAGCATCACAACTGACTATTCATGTTACTCTTAAAATCATGTAATGCATTGTTTTAAATCTATTATAGACTTTTGATTAGTTTCGACTACGAAAAATTTTCTAGACAACAGGAAAATGATTCTTATTTATTGATTTCATAGTTGTGATCACAAAAAAATTAAAATATTGAAAATGTATGTTTGAATAGATCGAGTTTGACAGAATGTACATAAAACGAATTCATTTCTATGATGAGTGAAGTTGTCAAATAAAATGTATTAGTCATACTCTGATTGTTCATCATTCTTGTAGTCTATCGAAGAAAGAAATTCATTATTCAACGAAAATAATTATATCATTCATGTAACATTATATCTCAAAACTATCGGTCTATATGACCGTCTATTTTAAAATGAAGGTAAATAGTTTTAGAAATTCGTATGCTTATTTTAGGGAACAAAAAAAGATTTAATTCATGGTAGAAGGAGAGAGGAAAGAAAAAAAGTGACCATAATAAACATCTTTTATTGATTTTTCGTTAAGTCTTGCTTTCTCCTTTTTAGACGATTTTTTCGTTTCATACAGTTGTTGTATAACGAACATTTTCTGTGTACTCAATTCTTCTCAATTTTATTAGTTATTTGAAAGAAATGAAAAAGGTAAGATTGTACTTATTATTAGTCAGTTTCCATAGTGTGTCTTGGATTCTTTCATATTAACATTGCCAATTAATGTCTAAAGAAACATTTATTGTTATGAAGCTTTTATCGGTGATGTTGTGGCAATAAATGATGATCCATTCATTTCTGTGACTTTAAATATAAGCAAAAGTCTTTTCGAATGGATGAATTAGTAATGTATTTGTGAAGATTACCAATCATGAACTAGGTAGTTATATAATGAGCTGTGGTGCAACTCAACGTTTATTTTCACTAGCTCTGTTTCTTAGAAACAATGATCTTGATTAATTTCATGTTTGGTATGTGAAAAATGTAGATAAACTTCATGAAATGGATTCTTAGATGATTTCGATGTAAACGGTAATGGAATGTTGATATTCACATTTTGAATTTATCGAAATGTTGCGAAAAATTGAAAGCTGTATTCATTGTTGAATAGTGGAAACCACAGCAGATAGAAGTTTCAAAATAAGCAAAAGTTATAGAGAATTTTGAGCATTTTTTTGAAGTAACTACTACTTACTGCTGTATAAGACTTTATGTACATTTAGAAGAGGTCACTAAACATTCGTATTTATACTTCTATCTAATACTTCTTGTCCTTGAATAAATTGATAGTGATTTTCCGACGCATACTGAATTATTTCTCCATAACGCTAAACAAATCTTTTTGCAGATTTTTTTCTCTTAGTATCCTAATCAATTCTGCATTGCGACTAATTGTCCTATGACCAATCGCCATAAATCTCTTAAATTGTTGTGCACCCATTGCTGATATATGATATGAAACTATTTGAAGTATCTTCTGATTATGTATATCCAATTCAATAATGATCTATTATTCGTCATACAACAAATGAATTGAGTAATCAGTTGACTTCAGAATATGATTAAATATGTTTATAAGTACAAATCATAGAAGAGGGATAAAATATATTTATTGCTTTGTTTAAATCTCTTATACAACTTCGGTTACATGTATGATTTTCTTTTTAATTGCAGATTATCGATAAATATATTATTTTAGATTAATGACTCATCCAGCATTCGATAGACGTGAAAGTGCGATGCTTGGTCATGCTTATGCTGATAACTTTCAAGCATTGACTGATATGGCTCTTGGACTTAGTAAAAGTTTGCAAGAATGTAGAAAGTTCGATGGAAGTGATGTTATATCTCATTATTTAAGTGCATATCATGGCTCGAACCCGAAACCTAATATTGGTAACATAACTAACTCTGTTTATGAAGAATTCTTAAAGCGTATAAAAGAACCTCCTTTTAAACTTCCAATAAAAGATATCTATAGTGTATCATATGCTGTTCATGAGAAGAACCATGGTCTTACAAGTGGATGCAATCCTGCTCAACGTTCTTTTCCACTTGCTTTTTGCAAACGGATTGATGACAAGAATCTTTTTCAAATAGCATGTGATGAAGCACGTCTTACACACTTCAGTACTACAGCTGGACAAATATCTGGTTTAACTTGTTTGATTTGTCGATATTTAATCAATGGTTATGAATGGGATGAAGCTATAACAAGTGCTTTCGAAACTGCTCTTTCAACTGCTCCAGATCTGTTGGGCGAAATTCAAGAAATTCAAAAACGATATAGAGATGATAATATTCTTAATGATACTCTTAATGAAAACAGACGACATATATATGCACCAAATACTTTACATACTGCTCTATATTGTATTACAAAGGCTGATTCGTTTGAAAGTGCACTGGCGCATGCACGTAGACTTGATCCATTGTATTGCCCGATTCTAGTTGGTATATTAGCTGGTGCTCGATGGGGTGTGCCACCAACAATGTTACCAGATAATTATGCGGAAAAAATAAAAAAGATAAAAAAAATGTCAGCAGGTTTTCGAGCTTGAATGGAAAATTGTAAAAGACTTTAAAATTTTTTTTTAAATCAGATTCTTTAATTATTATTAAAGAAATATAGTGCTTCTCCTAGTTTTGGTTTAATATTTTTTTTTTCTGCTATAGAAAAAAGCTTTTCGGCATCGATTAAATCAGAATTAGTAAATAATCATATTGAAATTTACACTTTATTCTAGCATTACGAATCATGTTTGTCGACATTTCTTAAATAGAACCTGTATATAATTGAATAACTGGATCTTTTGCTGGTTATTAGAATGCATTCTATACACGATAGAAACAGTAACGTTCGAAAATGCACAAATCTCAAGAGAATTCAAATATTTTTGAGAGTTTTACAGCTCATGTTTTATATAATCGATAAAATTAAGATATACATTCCAAAAATAATTTTACAAAGTGCTTTTGTAATGCTCATTAATTAATTTCTACCCATTTCAAAATGGTAGGATATATCACAACGAACACTACATATCGGTACATTTTGATATGGTTTTTATTGATCTCAGAAACAAAATTAAAGACTCAAACCGTTGCAATAAGAAGGGAGGAAAAATAATGACATGTGCTTTTAGAAACTACTTCTTCTTTATCTATTCATGCCATTCAAAAATGTGCAAAACAAGTTCAATTAACTTTGCTCAATAAAAACACTAATTTTAACAATCTTTCAAATCTTTCAAAGAATGCATCAATGAGGACTCGCCAGTCAATCCGGTGAAGATGTCCAAATGTGGTGATACTTTTGGAATTTGTAGAGGTTCTTGCGCTGATCATTTTCGTTATAGGATTTTTACACTTGCACTCTATTTTTAGAGAGATATGGGTCTAATACTATTGATGCATTTGATACATTTAGCAATAAATTCGAGTCATATTTATATCGAAAAAACGATCATAGTCCATAATTATCCATTCAGATTTTAAAACCAATTACATACTCAAATTTCTCTCGAAGAACTGCACCAGAATCTTTAGGATACTGAAAATTTTTCATGCATTTTTAAAGTGCTCATTGATTTGTACTGTAGAGGAGAAATGTACGAAAAACTTGATGAGAAAGTCAGAAATAAACAAGAATGGTGGTCTTGTCAGTTCGATAGAGCAGAATTTTCTCTATGACATGCACTAATTAGTTTTCTCCGCATCCTTGATTTTGAAGTGAACAAAAGTAAAAACTATTTTGTGTTACAACTTTTCCTCAAACTCTGATGAGTGTATTGATGAAATTTAATCAGATGGTTCCTTAACTATTTTAAAACTCACTGAGAATTGTAAGAACGTGTTGAATTCATGATTTTCGTACTAAGTTATACAATGTTTAATTCTATTTCCACAAAGAAGTAAATCAAATAATATAAGTGTATATTATATTCTTTTGATTATTATGCAGAAAAAAAAACAATACATTTTTCTCGGAAAGAATGGAATAACACTGTATTATTTTGCTAAACTAGAAACCCACTTATATTAGAACAGAACATTGTATAATTTAGTACTAAAATCATGAATTCAACACGTTCTTACAATTCTCAGTGAGTTTTGAAATGGTCAACGAACCATCTGATTAGATTTCACCACTATACTCATCAGAGTTTGAGGAAAAGTCGTGACCTAAAATAGTTTTCACTTTTGTTCACTTCAAATATCAAAGGTGCGAAGTAAACTAATTAGTGGATACTGTAGAGAAGACTCTGCTCTATCAAACTAACAAGGCCACCATTCTTGTTTATTCCAACTTGCTGATCGACTTTTCCGAAATGTTCTAACCAAAATGATCAGCGTAAAAACCTCTACAAATCCTGAAAGTCTCACTACATTTGCACGTGTTCACCGGATCGGTCGGAGAGATCGCATAGATACACCCAATACAAATAGGTTTGCAAAGGCAATATATTTACGCAACATGATCTCCGATCGTTAGTCACTTATATATGACACAAAAAAAAACGAATTTACATCATAGAGTTTTAAAATAATGTCAGTGAAATTAAGTTCACATAATGAAGAAAAATAGCGATAAAAGTCTTCTGAATAAGTCATATAATTCCCAACAAGAAATCGTTTCACTCTAGCATAATTGCGTCGCTTTGTATCTCTTGTGAAGTTCTCTGTCACATGTTTCAAAGTGGTATCTGCTACTTTTAATTCGGTTAAACGAGGTAGATGAGTTATTGTTTCATTGAGAAACTGATCATGATAATATGAGTCAGAATTAATGACGTCAAGTGAACTAAGATGAGGGTATTCAACAATAAGATATGGATTATTATTGATAGGTGAAGGTTCTTGAAATTATCAGAATGGTGGTCGGATATTGTTAATAGTTAAATATTTAAGCGATGGAAACGATCGAGCAACTCGAATGAAAAATTTATGTTTGAATCCAATTTTATGATGTCACATCAAATGAGTGACATAATTGAATACAAGATTTAGAAATTTATTTGTGATGTTTTTAAGACGATCAAATTAGGATGGAATTGAAAAGACATGACATATGATATGAACTTGCGAGGGTCGAAATAATCTACCATACAAGCCACCGGTTGATATTGTACACTTGTAAAAGTTCATTGAATATCATCATTTGATAAATGAAGAGTTGGATTAGCAATGACATTTTCATTGGAGATATAAAAAATAAATTTATGAAGTCGTGTCATATTAATAAAAAATTTTATTATGAAGATGAGTACCATCGATGAATAATTGTCCATCCAAGATACAAAGATACAAATTTAATTCTTCGAGATGTGGCATTCGACGAAGAAGAGATATAATTCGATTATCATATTCTTCAGTGCTATTATCACATGTTAACGAGAAACATTTCAAATTAGGTAGATCATCATGGAAAAAGAAAGTGATATTCATAAAAATATCTGTATTAATCGATCTTGACGACAAATTTAAACAAAAAGAACTTATTGATAAACATATATTGAAATTATACTATTTTCTTGAGTGTTTTTTGTATTCTATAACGTATACATTCTATAGTAATGATGATGAAGATAGTTAATTTGTATGTTTAAAACTCTAACGTATAGGAACTAGTGAATAATTTAACAAAGATATAAAATATTATATAAAAATGAATTTTCTCAAACAAGTTTAAGACCTTACACTAAAATTCATCATGCAGTTACTTCAAGAATTATTTTCGATATAAAACTAATAATTCTATCAAGTAAAGATACTCATTCGAATATTATACATTAATGAAAATCATATCTAAGATTTAATTCAACATAGATGAATAAGGCTGAAATGATTAACAGAATAGATAAAAGACAAATAGTTTGCTTCCGTCTTATTTGATAAATGAATATTTATTTTGCAACTAGTTATTGATTAAGTAATTCTAAATAAGTAGTAATTGATTATGAAATGGTCCAGAAAAAAAACATCAAATTAACTTTGATAATCTATTTCTTATAATTTCATACTCATTGAAATACGCACATTCTATTTAATAATGCAAAAATCTCATTATCTATTGGACTCTTAATTAAATTTATTTTCTTATCAACAATAAACACTGCTTAGAAAACAATAACAGCACGAAGCATAGACTCACCATGTTGTAAGACGTCGAAATCAGATCGTTGATATCAATAATTTAAATAATAAATGTAGTTAATTGTTTGAGACGATCATTAAGTAAAGCAAGACAGTCATTCAAGCTATTTGCACTAACACGTAATTTAGTAAGTATAGAAGAGGAAAATGTTGTTGGTGATAAATCATATAGTGAAAAATGTGGATACTTGTTAATGAATGATGGTATAATAGTCAAATGCTTTAGATTTGCAAAGAAAGTCAAAATAAATGTATAAACATTCCTAGTATAGCTTTTCCAGGATATTTTAAAATTAGTTTCATTAATGATAAAAATAATATCCGTGATTTGTTGTTTACAAATATGTCGAAAGATAGAATCGTCTAAACAAAATACAACATAGAGATTTGTATAATCTTTGTCTTTCAATATTTTAGTATGTTAATTCTTGAACAAACTATTGTACATGAAATTCTTATCTTCGAAATAACGTGAGACGATTTGTTTGTTGAAATTGAAAAGTTTAAGCTTAGTAAGTTTCAGAAAGTTGGCAGCAAGAAGAATACGTTTCATAGAAGCTGATTCGAGAGTGAAACATTTGATATGATGATGAATTGCTCGGCAATATATCGAAATTGAAGAAATATCTTCATCTGGTGACATCGAAACAAAATTAAGATTGTTAGTGAAGATTTCACTTAGTACTATAATATCAAGTCGTTGATCATTGATACCCAATAAAGAATAAAAAACATCCATTTTGTCGAGTTCTTTCAAGATGAGAAATATAATATCTCATTGGGTAGATCAAGAAGTTGAACATTATGCTGATTCATGTTTGATTATTATTTTGACGCTTTTCTAAAGACAATATATTTACTTATATCTAATCCTTTGCTCATAAGCACTCTTCTTATTGGAGAATAAAATGATTGACCTTGTTGAATGAAAACAAGTAAATAACATTAATAAAAGTGCAACACTTATTCTTGTTCTTTTGTACGATAAGTATCCATTACAACTGGAAATCTGTCACTGTCGCACGGTGGTTCTAGAAGATACAAAGCTAGCGCATCGTCGCTGCGATAGTCTTCGACTGTGCTAAATTATCGTAGTTAGATTGAATTCTTTAGACTCATCACGATTTTGACTGTTAGACCTATAGTTGCTCATGTAGGCGCGAATTGATGTAATTTTACAATCTCCCGAAAAAAGAAATTGCCATGAATATCTATGTTTTGTGTTTGATTTTTATAAAATTGGATGACATAAAATCTAAAAATCTAAACGATCAAGTGAAAACTAATGACTAATCAAACAATTTCTTCGTTTTGAATTTGGAGGGATACTTTTCATAATTATATTATGTTTGTATTAATTGTTTGTACTAAAATTTGAAGTCAACAGCAAACTGAACAATAGTAA